AGCTAGACTAGCTATCTTTCGGTGTGGTGGGAAGGAGGTATGACAGCCAGTCACTGCTGGAGCAAGAGCGCGCAGGATAAAGTAATTAGACGGATAAGGGTGAGATGGCCTGACTAACAAGATAGATAGATGGTGGGGCTTAGCTGATGAGACAAGGTAATCAAATACCGACAAGGAGAACCGAGGGGGTAGAGTTGGAGTGTGAGAGATGTTAGTGGAGCTGGAAGGCACTGGGACACGAATGAATCTGTAGCAGGTAGTAATGAGGATACAACATCAGAGCATCGCAGTCAACTCAGAAACTACTCACTTTCTGTATAAAGACAAATAACGACAAGGTGTTCAGGGAAAGTTTGATTTACGATGGAATTTGAGTTGATTTTACCAGGTGATACTCGAACTGCATGCGCATTTTATCGGGCTAGCTTTGTTGTGAAATAAACGCCGCGCTGAAGAGGCAAACGGTTATTCAAATCAAACTATGTGAGCAATTTTGTCCCCTTTCTATATTACTACACTGAACCAGCATCAAGAAATTCAATAAACCCACATTGTACAGGGAAGGTGCTTTTCAGTGTCCATTAAGACAACACAATTGTGGCAATACAGAACAACAACCGAAGAAGCCAGGGATCTATAGAAGAAAGAGCTGATAACTGCGAAAGAAGTGAAAGAAAAGAATCAAGTTGACTATGGAAAATGAAGGAAGAGGTAAATGCTGCTACAATTATCTCCAACCCATAGCAACCCAGAAAGATGCACGTGGGGTATGAGACACGCAAGAAAGATCAAACCAGAACTTAAAACACGAAGGACGATTTTCTCGATTTCCAAAAAAAGTAAGCCCCCGTATGGGATGGGGTTCTATACCTACCCCGGGACCAGATCATAGTCATGGAGGTGTATTTAACATATAGGAGACACCTAGTCAAGAGGGATGCCCTGGTATTCGCCGTAGCCAAGGGCAAGGTTCATGTTCTCTGTAACGAGCATATTAGCTTCAATCCTATCTGTGACTTGAGTAACTGTTGGACCGAGGGACTTACGCAGGCACTGGGTGGCGGCACCCTTGAGCAGGTTGTCAATGGTAGCACACACGACGACCCGCTTGCCGCTGGAGTGGACAGCGAAGCCACCAACCTCAACGCCGTGGCGGCCAGCGATGGCCTTGACGGAAGGAGGCTCGCCAACGATCTTCACGAGCTTCTCACCAGCATAACGATCCTGGTAGATGTTGCGAATGTCGCGGGAGGTCATCTCCTCCTTCAAGGGGATGCTGATAGTGTGCTGTATAGAAGTCAGCTTCGACTCAGACCGAGTTCAGATAGCATAGAAACAAGGGTAACATACGTGAATGCCCTGGAACCAGACAGCAACGTGAGGGATGAACGCAATGCTGGTGCCAAGCTGCGCGCTGATCTCCTTCTCGTGGATGTGATCAGTCAGGCTGTAAGGAATGATGTTGTTGGTGAGGTTGTCCACGTCGTTCTTGGGGCTGGGCTTAGTACCAGCTCCGGAGTAGCCAGAAACACCGAAGACAGTGGGTTGACCACCCAGGTAGGGCACGAGGGGGGCAATTCCAATCTGAGCGGCAGTAGCGTAGCATCCAGGGTTGGCGATACGGGTAGCCTGGGCAATCTTGGAACGGCTGACCAACTCAGGCAGACCGTAGGTCCAGTTGCTGTCGAACCGGTAGTCGGCACTCAGGTCGACGATCACATTGCCCTTCTCAGCACCCTGGTCCACGGCATCAACAAACGGCTTGCAAACGCCGTTGGGCAGAGCCATGACCCAGCAGTCCACATCTCCGTTGGAGGACATGCGCTTAACATCATCGGGACTGAGGTTCTCGTAGATGATCTCACGCTTGTCGTAACCCTGCAGCTTCTTACCAACCAGCTCGCGAGAAGAGACGTGACGCAAATCCATGTGAGGGTGAGCGTTAAGCAGACTGATCAGAGCCTGGCCGGTGTAACCACGGGCTCCAATCAGAGCAACCTTGGAGGGGCGGGTGTTGGACATGTTCTTCTCTCCCAACGGGGGGTTGGGGTTCGTCGTGGCGTAGGTTCTGACAGTCTGCACAGGAACCATCGGACGAGCGGAACGAGCGGCACGCAAAGCATTGCTGGTAGAGGAGAAGGCACGCTTCTGCTCAGCAGAAGCGCCGCTAGCACCAAAACCCTTGCCAATGTGAGTGGCGGCCTGGGCAGCGCGGTGCAGTCTCGACTCGAGGTTGATGTCTCCAAACATCTGGCGACCGTGCTGGTTGAACTCCTGCACCAGCTGCTTGACCTCATCACCGCTCTCGACACCGTACCAGAAGAGAACCTCTCCCTCACGGCTGAGGCTGCCATCAGCCTTGTCGAAGAACCAGGTCAGGTTCTCATCGTCCTCCTTGACGGTCCAGACAAGCTTGGGGTAGTCCTTCTTGATGGAAGCGAAGACGTTGTCGGCAACGTTGGTCAACCAGCCGGACTTGGTGATGGTGAAGGTAGCCAAGTGAGCCAGGGAAGAAGTAGCATCCTTCTGAGGGGGCAGGACAACGGCCAGCGCCTCCATAGGCTCATCATAGTAGACCTTGAAGTCACGCTCCTTCAAGCCCTCAACATAGCGGTCAACAGTAGCGCGGGCATCCAGGCCCTCGCGGTCACGAACCAGGACCTCCTTGAGCTTCTCGAGATCCTCGAAGTCAGAGAGAGAAGTCTTAACGTGAACCTTGTTGCCACGGCGGATCAGCGTACCGGCTCCGGAGTCGGTGAAGAGTTCCTTCTGCAGATCAGCAGGGTGGATGATGGCGACGCTGGAGGTACGAGGCAGGTCGCTGAGCAGGTCCTTCATCTCCTTGATCTTCAGGCGGGTACCGTGACGGACCCACCACTGAGTCATCAGGTGATCGTACTCCTCGTCGAGGTTGATCACAGAGATCTTCTCACCGGTGTCGCCGTTGAACAGGCCACCCTTCTCGGCAAGGTAAACAATCTTGAGCGGCTGGAGCGCACGCGCCAACTCACCGGCAGCCACATCAGCGTTGACGTTCAGAACCTGGCCATCGGGAGTCTCGGCCATAGACGTAAGAATGGGAAGGCAGCCAGCCTCAATGGCAGACTCAATTGGCTTCTTGTTCACGCCATTGATCTTGCCAACCAGATTGTACTTGTCCTTGTCCAGGTAATCAGCGGTGAAGACACCCGCGTTGAGAGGGCGCGCCCGGACACCCATGCGCTCCAATTCCTCAATCAACTTCAGGTTCTCCTCCAGGAACAGCTTCCGGGCCAGAGCCAGTGTCTTTCCATCGGTGACTCGGATTCCATCTTCGAACTGAGGCTCGACGCCGGCGTCTTCCAGCATGCGGTTAAGCTGGGGTCCAGCACCGTGGACGACAATCGGGTACAGGCCGACATGGTTCAGGAAGGCAAGGGCGGAGGAAAGAGTCTGGAGGTGTTCGGTGATGATGGCACCGCCAACCTTGATGACAGCGAACTGCTGGGAGGAAACGGAGGTGAAGTGAGAGAGATACTGCTGCACCTCACGCTTGGAACCGATGTTGCTCAGCAGCTGAACAACGGTAGAGCGGGTGGAGGAAAGCTGGGGGTCAGCAGCACGGGAGTAGTGACGACTCTGCAACAGGGGAACCGCAGAGGCCTTCAGGGATTGACGAGCAGAGGCGCCGCCCAGTCTGGCAGAGGAAACAGCATGCTGTGCGGAGAACGCGCGGAGGGGCTTGCTGGAGGAAGCTCTCCGCACGGCGGTGCGAAGGGAGAACATATTGCCAGCCAGCATGCGGCAGCTTCTGAGGCCTAATCGGACAGGAAGGTCGAGGGAGGGAGACCTAAGAGGGGAGATGGGAGGTTAGAGGGAGTTAAGTAGCAGTAGTAGCAGTAGTGACGGTGGTTGAGAGGAGAAGTGACGAAGAGGGAAAAAAGGTTGTGCGGAGGTAGTAGTGCGGGTTCATCAGGGAATTTGCCGCAACCCCCAAAGAGTTTGATCGTCCAGATAGAGATTATCGGCCACACCTCGGAGCGGGCGCGCGCCCTTTGGGGAGGGGAATTATTACTCACTAGTTGGCCCCGACCCAATGGCTGGCCGCAATCGCCCTGTTCGTGGGTGGGTTTTTCTTGACTTTTCGGCCGTGACCTCTTCTGCCCTCTTGGTTAAGTTTAAGCCTTGGGGTTTTATAAAGGCTTTTTCAATGTCGCTCTTTGCCGTGTTCGGGAGCGCCCTTTATATCTCTCCCCACGCGGGCCTCGTTTTTTAGGCTGTTTTCACAAGCTCACCAGGGGCACCTGGACCTTCGTCGAACCTGTCACTGTATGTGAGCGAATTTTGATCTGGCCACTGGAATAAATTGCGCAAAACCCGGCTTTCAACAGATCACAGTCGAGGGATAAACGCCAGTCCGCACAAGTGCCCGAAACGCTGGCTTGGCTGCGACTTTCGGAGCCGGGTATCGAAAGTGACTCACCACATTATTCAAGCCGGTTCCAATTCCGGTCGCCTTCGCTCCCATCTCGACCTCGCTTCCCTCTTTCCCATAGACACACGTAATGGAAACCAGCATATGGATCCCGGCGATCCCCTGTGATCAATTTTCATCAATCAATAATAACTCCTGATGCTGTTATCAGATCTCGCTAACTGCCGACAGCCTATCACTGGCCTGAGTCGCTAGAGTCGTGCTCCAGCACGACTCAGGCCACAGGTGTCAAATCCGTCAGTGCAGATGGAGCCTTTTCGTTATCTGATCCTCCCTTTACCTAACACGTACAACTGGGTATCCAGAGTCCATATTAATGTGGTCCACATCTCATCCCTTCGGTCTTCTTCATCCGACCGTTCCTCCCTTTGCTTTTTGCGTGGGGTGCGGGTTTATCCATGGCTGGTAATCTCCTCCGTAGTAGTATCCGCAATACGAGAATCTACCCGTGTCTCAGCTACGATGGGGTCGGACTTATGGCCACATAAGTGCCCTGACCGTCTTTCTCGTCAGGTCCCTCCATCTCCTCTCTCCCCCTTCTCCCTATGGAAGTGCAAGTCTCAAAAGGACGAATTAGGCTGCCTGTACTATACTCGCAGTGTACTAGGAGTGTAATCTGGAGCAGAGGTCCATTAAAGGCTAAAAGGAAAGGCACAAAGGAAATACATGAGGAAAAAAAAGGAAAAAGAAAAGGACAAGGGCAAACATAGGAGACCAAAACCAACAAAACAGCACTGATACTTGAACACGAGGAAGCACCGGAGTATCATTTACATCTTCACCGTCGATGGAATCATGTGGCATAGCCTCGATCTCCAAACCGGCTCATAGCGTCCATGGCGTATAGAGACAACAAGACTTTATTCGTGAGAACGAGGTTGGACGCCCGAGAAAAAAGCAGGTGGTATTAATAGCTGGAAACAACGGCTTCGTCTCAACACAGATAAACCAGGGCCAGGCGAAAGAAAAATCGTCATCCATTCCCAAGCCGATCATGACTGTCGCGCTGTGTAATCGTAGCTTAATGTTTGGTGGCGACAACTGAAAGGAGAGAGCTGTTAGCGCATTCCGGGATGTTTTTCCGAGTCCAGCTTGGTGGAGTGCTGGAGGATAGCGCTGATCTTACCTGCAGGGACGATAATCACAATGAGCAGAATAATGATACAAACGATTAGGCACACGCGCATCTTCATATCCTTCCACCACATTTGCTTCCTCACGCGGTTGGCACCTCTGCGGAATCCCTGCGCTGATGTTGCCAAATTGTCCGTCTTGTCCTGGAGGGAATCTAGACGTTCACCACGTTCTGAAACTTTAAAGATGTTGGAGCGCATTGTGTCAACGGTTTCTTGGATTTTCTAGACAGAGAAGAAACACAGCGTTAGTAAATACTTTGCGACAAATGCCATAATAGACACAAGCTTAATAAGATTCAAAAAGACCCGGTGGCCTCCAAGTCCAGTTGAACTCAGATGGAAGTCCAAATGAAAACTGGAAAGCCATCACATCCTATTCAACCTGGGCGACATATCCTTGTGGAACGATAAAAGTTGACCGCGAGGCGTTTCGGCAACTTACTTTGTCGATTTCCCGTGTCCTGGGGTCGCCATTTTGCGCAGCGCTGGCGCCGGCGCCAGCCCCATTGGCGCCAGAGGGGATGTAGGGATCATAGGGCTGCTCGGACATGATTCTCGTGCGCGATAGATTCTATGTATTCGGTATTCGGGGGTGTAGGACCTGGCAAGTCACCAGACTACCTAGGTGGAAAGTGACGGGCTGCTGCCTGTTCCTGTCGTAGGGGATGAGGCGGGAAGTCGCAACGAGAGACTTGACGGCAGAGAGTACGGTGAAAAGCGAGAAAGGTGGAGGTCGGAGGATGGTGTGGAAGGTGGCGGGATGATGGAATGCAGGAGGGAAAGCAGGATGCGTTATTGAAGGGAAGCTGACAAGGTGTGATGAATCGCCGCCCGCCTTCTGGAGATTACAGGCGTTTCGGTTCGGTCGGGGCGGTTTCACGTGACCAGCGGTCTATTGGGAAGGACGCCCCGGCAGGCAGCTATTATTATTTTGTGCTTAGTGGTAAGACCCAATTGGACCAGCCGCTAGAATGGAAACAAAGAGAAGAGAGAAACCTAAAAGGTTGAGTGGCTGTATAGACTGCTGTTACTTTGTTTCTATTGACTACTACTACAGCCCACATAGGAAAGGAGAGGATACCTTGTCAATATCCACCTACTTCACATGGAAATGGAAGAACTACGGAGTACTACAACTGTCAATAAAGTCGATGTATGCACTGCATGCAGTAGGAAGGCTCAGGTTTGCTCACAAATCTTGTAAAGAGAGCAATACAGACAGAAATAGCAACACCAGTTGTCCGTTCATTGGGCAGCTTTACTACCCAGTGTCTAAAGTATGGCAACGGTCTGCCCGACCTCATGCGTTGCTTAAGAAACACGCCCTACTATGTGGCGGTGCGTCCTCTGTAGCATACTGCGCCTTCCATCACATGCATCACGTGGCAATCCTGCCTAAACGGGTATGGACTGTGGAGCCTTCTTCCATTAATCTAGATAATGGATACGATAAGGACTTGGTTGCCAGAAGAATCCTGCCAACTTTTGCATTCTTCGTCCTGCAGGCTATTTGTTTGGCCTATACCATTACTTCTACTTTGATTGACATAACTGCTCTTAGTCTCATGCTACTTTCCCCCTTTACGGATGAGCAACATCATGAAGGTTACTGGGAACAGTTTACTCTCAATCCCAAAACCCGTTGTTCTTAGTGATGCCTTCTTTCATAGGAGGAAGTTGGCCGTTCAATGTGCTATGTGAGTATCAGCAATAGACACAACAACGCTCTACATCGCCGCTTAATTGATGGATGCGGCAATTGTCCGAACGGACACCTGCAGGCCTACAGCCGCAACAAGTATATGAGCGATTTACACAACATTTTTAGCACAGAAGCCGTTCATATGGATTATCGCAGCATGAATGGTCAAACAGCCCATGCGTCGGCGGGAGAGCTCTCGGATACGAGGTGGTCAGGCTCACTAGAGATGCTCATCCGCTACGAAATCCAATTATATCGCGTGGCCAACTCATCCCAAGCCAGAGAAATTTTGGTATATATCGTAAAAGTACATCCTTCTATGCAACGGAAGGGAGATAAATAGAGCCACCAGCGATCTTATCGATAAACGTTGACTGGAATTGATCTGGACATCAGTTATTTTCTTTCCAGCCTATGAAGATGGTCATGCGCCTAAGTACGGTCTCGGCAAACGTGCATATGGCTGTGCTGTGCTACTACAGCTCATATTTAGAGACCCTTGTTGTTCCAAATCTGCGCCAGCGGCACGCCCGCGAAGTTCGGTCTCACCAAATAAAGATTTGTATGCAGCCATATTGTATGGCGCTTTGATCTTCTGGCCGATTAACGCTTATATTCTTACCCGAGCAGCAACGAATAATCCCGACATCACGCCAAGTCGTCATCACCAATACAACATATTCAGCTTTCTGTAGGCGTATCCCGATGGACGGGAATGGCACAATAGACATAATATACAATGCAAGCGTAGGATTTCCATTCAGTCGTTGAAATATAATACAGTATAGACCATAGCCTCCGAAACTCCACAAACTCTAAGCCAAATGCTTCCCCCTCAATGCTTTTGGTCATGTCTCAGGTAGACGCAAAGGGTATAAATACAAAGACGATGCAGGAGTCAACGGTCCTTCCTAGCATCATGTTCGATCCAGCACCTTTCCAGCACAAAGAAAAGGGCCAATCACTGCAGAATCGCTCCAGTGGAGACGCATCGCTGCGACCAGCTTATTTCTCACCCAGCAGTTCCTTTCTCATCTCCTCACGTTGTACCTTAGCATCGTCCCTGGCCTGGTTCCGTTGTACCTCAGCCTCCACGCGCTTCTGTTCCTGTTGTTCCTGAGCCGCGTACCAAACTAATCAAACCATGACATCAGTATAACTGCTCACAAACATCCAAGACATGAGGTGGAAGACAGGAAGAGGCCATAACGCACTCGACTTATCGGACTTGGACCATTGCTTCAACCGGGTAACATATTCATCGAATTCCCGAGCTCGGCGATCACCTTCCTCCAGACTCCGCTTCTGAAGATCGGGGTTGTAACGCTTGAACAATTCTTCATCAGTAGGACGGATGTATTGGACGAATGCCGGACCGCCGACACAGATGACGATGCCGCTAATTATCCGTTAGAAATCGCGCGGCAAGCACGGAAGAGGTGGGAGTGGATGCGCCTTACACGCCGAGCATCTTCATCCAAGTTCCTGCCCGAGACATGGTGAGGATTTTCTGGAGACGATTGGTTGGTTGAGACGACGAGTGATGTAAGGCAGGTGAATTCGCCTGCTGTAAATGGCTAAAATCGAGGTAGGTTGATGTCTTTGTTGAATCCACAGCCACAAAGGGGAAGCGTCCGGGTAGTGCGTCTGCTCATCAATCGGGATCTCATCAACATCATCATCGTAATCACGCACACGGGATTCGGCAGCGCCGATCCATATGTGTGGCGCAGCAGTGGAGGCTAATGAAGGTGGCGCATGCTGTGGCCGTTACTTAATGTAACCAATTAGGGAAGCGAACTAGAATTCGGGCTGACTTCCCTTTTGCTGGCACTCCCGAAGGGAAAAGTTCTGCTGTTCCACTCACTATGTCACTAGAACAACACTATCAGATTTTGTGCGAATGAGCAGCTGATTCCTAGTAGCGGGGAAAACCGCAGAGATTCTCTCTTCGTCTGTTCTGTCGAATGGTTTGCTGTGACGTCTGAATGTCTTAGACATCGGTCCGCTCGGCATTGATATGTCTATTTCTAAATATAATCACAGAGAAGAGTAGGATGTCGGTTAAACTGCTTCATTGGTGAAAACTTGCGAGGTATGAAGAATTACTTACTCGTTTGGGTCATGTGCAGCTCCATTCCAGGCGTGGGACTTTAACCGCAGGTGCAGCTGATCATTATCTTAACTTAGGAAGTCTATTAGTCAAATGCTTTTACTAGGAATAAAATATTTTGCGTTGTTCAAATAATGTGCATTCTCATTTGCAGAAGTGTTATGCGGATAGATAGAGTACATTCGCCTAGACGCAAGGTCTGCTAAAGTCCACGTTCGTATCTTTCGATGCGACATATCTGATACGTCAACGCGGCAGGGGTAACTACTACTAATATACCTGCTATGGCGAGAAATGCGCTTGGTCAATGGACTGGTTTTAAGGCCGTAAATTGTGTTGGAGCATTTAGAAATTTGTACCCCATAAGGCTCAACGAGCCACTTGGCACTACTCCGTACCAGAGCCTGGGGATAGGTTTATGTAAGATAGGTTGATGATCGATAACATCATAGGCTGATGGACGGACTCCGAGTGTGCATCCTTCATTGTAATTCGACGCATGGGGCTATGTCGTATTCGTATTAAGCCAATAGAATTGCAGCGCCTAAGTTTCGAACGGAGATTGCGCTGGAGTTTGATCCATAATGACCACTGTCGTTGTACTAAACTAGGGCCCCTCCAAAGATTAACTGCTTACTGACTATCCATTGGCACGAATTTTGAAGACCCCTGATGATCAAAGGACTCAAGGCCTTGCAGCGGGTTTGTAGGTGATGGGCAAATTATTGCTGTTCGAAATATTCGGGGTACGGTTGATCTTGTGTCTCAGGGGTCAATAGCCTGGAGAGGATATCCAACGTCATTTCCTAGATGGGTATCTTGGGTAGCGCCGTGCCAAGCAGTTATCAGACTCCAACGGTTTCTGAATCTGTAGTTGAAGGAGGGTTAGTCGGGCATGCTGGGAGGAGTAGTGGTTGACTGACGGTGGACTGGGACAGATACCCACTGTCGAGACATGGCACCAGTGCCACAAAGTCCCTCTTTAATGTCCTTCATCCAGGTTCCAATGCCATGACTCCTGCTGCCACTAGACTGAATGGGGTCGAGGACGGAGGAATAGATCCGTTTTGTACCGGCAAGAAGTGGGACACCGATATCTAACTCTGACCAGCGACAGTATCCCGGCGGGACGGGCGTGGGTCAGTTCAGAAGAACCGTTCCAAAGTGTCAGTAGCCGACCAGTGAGTAGTTGAGTAGTTGAGTGGGTGCACGAACAGTTCAGTCATGCATTATGGGCATTTCGCTAGGGAGTCGCGCAGGGTTGATCAGAGACAAAGGAGAGGCATTCATAAGCGTTTCATCGTCGAGGTCAATCAATCAATTAAATCAACAAGAATAAGAATAATCCCTTGTGTTGTCGCTCCCACTTTTTCTTTTTGGTCACTAAACGATCGCATTTTCCTTTCTTCTCCAGTCTTGACAGTAGGGGAGTTTTAAATTCACGGGTGGCTTTTCTTTCCCCTCTCCATCCAGTCAGACTACTTTACCCGTCAGGTACTCCGGACTCCGTCCCTATTCCTCGACGACCCAAAGACTTATCATCGCCTTTTACCTCCCCCGTCAACCTCCACCCCCTCCGTCGCTATTTTAAAAATTCCTCCTTCCTCGGGGGTCACACGCTCTTTATCTTCTCACAAAGGTCATTCTTCCTTTGCCATCTTTGTAGCTAGCTTTCTTTTTCTGCTCCGGTCCCGCATTCCTTCATTCCTGGCGGGGGGTAAGGTTATCCCTCGTGTTCTGGTGAGTTGGTCCGGCTTCGCGCATTCGCCGTGCGATCGCGCCCTCCGCTTCTGCAGTCACTTGCGCCTTCGATTCGACCGCTGACAGCATTCCTTGTCCTTTCGCTAGGAGACATCACCCTCGCGCTGGTCTTTCTTTATGGTCTAATGGCTGCATATATCGCATGGAACTGTTGAATCCTATTCCCGGTGTCACTTTTTTCGCAGATCTACCTAGCTTCCAGTAAGCTAAGCGCCCCTTCAACTACTACCAGGGTCTAGCAGCATTTTTGCCTTATGTACCTTTGTCTCACTGGCTGACCTCCCATTGGTGTAGATAGTGAAAGGGGGGGCGTGAGCATTGTCTACTAGTGGACTGATTGTTCCCCGCGCTTCCAACCCGGATACAGACGCCGCAATCGTTTGTTCAAAAGCCCGCATCGACTCCTTTCCCTTGTACAGTTCGCAAGATTACTGTTGGCGTAATGGCATACCCTCAGCATCCAGCGCAAAGGGCGCCTCCGGTGCGAAACTATGGTCCCGGCGCTCCTCCCACCCGGGGCGGGGCCTTTCAGGGTCCGCCGCCAAACGGACATTATGATTATGGCTATGACAACCAACACTATGGATACAGTGAGGGTCCTCAAGGTTCAGGACGCGGTTATCCCGGTGATAGCGCAGTCCCACGGTCTTATGGGCCTCCACCAGGAGCACCGCGGCCTCCACGTGGTGGCTATGGGCCCCCGATGGAGTCCCGTGGATATGCATATCGTGGACGCCCACCACCGACGCAGGGATATGATGGCCGTCGTGGCTACGGGGACAGACCACCTCCACAGATGAGACGGCGTGAGTCTAAACGAGAATCATTTCCCTGGAACGTGCCGTTGACTTGATCTAGCTGCTCGTCCGCCGCAATCTCCTGATAAGATGGCATTTGACAATCCTTTTCCATCTTTCCCAACGAAAGACCCGCGCGGACCAAGAAGTATCGAGGGCGAGATGGCCGCAATGAACCTCAATGGCGGTCCAGTGCCCCCTTCGCAGGTGCCGGATCGTCCGCATACCTCGCACGGTAGACGGCCACCCAGGCCTGTATCACCTGGCCGTGGTAGAAACAACTACCCCGCCGCTCCTGTGCGATCAGCAAGTACTGGTCGTCCGGCAGCTTCGTCTGTTCGAAGCGACAGACCGTATACCGATCCTAACGACCCGCCGCCCGTACCACACGTCAATCGAAGCGCTACCATGCCGGTTCAGCCGACCATGTCACCTCCGCCGCCCAAGCCTCTATACCCGGGACAATCAACCTATCAAGATCCCTACTCTCACCCGCAACCGGGTCCGCATGAGCATTTCGATACTGAGGCATGGGTGGATAGTTATTATAACTCGGCTCATGCTGGTGAGAGTGACATGCCCAACTTCGATGCGATGCCTGATCCCGCAAAGGGCGGAGTGATCGATGAAAGCTTGCCCGGCCTTGAGCAGCCGAGGGCCAAGGCACCCATCGAGTCACCACCCTCGTCTCGTGGAGGATACACCGCGTTCAACCCTCATGCAGCGGGCGATCCTTATCCGCAGTCTCCAGTGGAAGCCAGGGGCGCAGCTGTGCCAAATCAGTTCGCAAATGCAGGCTTCCAGTTCGACCTGCCAAATGAGGGCCCACCAATTCAGCCTGTCTATACTCAGGCCAGTGCTGGATATGGTTATAATCCGCATCCCTACGAGGAGCCCCACCCTCAAGATCAGGGGAACTGGGGCGCTGGAATGCCAGCTTATCCCGAATCCAATAGCGGCTATCCTGTCCCAGAACCTTCTGTCCGGAACAATGGGCCGCCTCGCCCCTACAGGCCCAACCAACAGACGCCTGTAACTGAGCCGGCACCAGCGGTGAGCCAGCCCGAAGCTCTGGATCCTCAAAAGAACCCCGACGCTCTTCCCCACCACCCCGTTCCTTTCCGCCCGGGCCACGATCAGGCAAGCAAACCCGCACCAGTACGGCAATATAACAACGTCAATGCATCGGCTCCTCCTCCTGCTGCTTCCCCACCGCAAGCCGCTCCTGTAGAACCAGCTGCATCCGGTCCCGTCACTCAGCAAGAGCTCCAAAGCCTTCAGCAGATGGCCAAAAGTAGGCCGTCAGACAACAAGACCCAGCTTCTACTTGCGAAGAAGTTGGTTGAAGCTTCGACAGTTCTGGTTGAAAGCAGTCGGATGGATCCTAAGACCAAAGCAAAAGCCCGTGAGAGGTATGTCATGGATGGTTACAAGATCGTCAAGAAGCTGGCATCCAGTGGATACGCAGATGCGCAATTCTTTCTCGCGGACTGTTATGGCTCAGGACAGATGGGCCTTCAAGTGGATCCTAAGGAAGCTTACAGCCTATACCACTCCGCTGCTAAGTCAGGGCACGCTCAGTCTGCTTACCGAGTCGCTGTATGCTGCGAGATAGGACAAGAAGAAGGCGGAGGCACTAAACGCGACCCCTTCAAGGCGGTACAATGGTACAAGCGCGCTGCATCCTTGGGAGACCCGCCTGCGATGTACAAGATGGGAATGATCTTGCTCAAAGGCCTTCTCGGGCAAGCCAAGAATCCTCGTGAAGGTATCTCTTGGCTAAAGCGTGCCGCAGATCGTGCCGATGCCGAGAACCCACATGCCCTTCATGAGCTTGCTCTCATGTACGCAAATGCTGGACCCAATGATGTCGTAGTTCGGGATGAAGCCTACGCAAGCCAACTGTTCCACCAGGCTGCCGAATTGGGATACAAGTTCTCTCAGTTCCGCTTGGGATCTGCGTATGAGTACGGCTTGATGGGATGCCCTGTCGACTTCCGGCAGAGTATCATTTGGTACACTCATGCTGCGGCCCAAGGGGAGCACCAGAGTGAACTTGCTCTCAGTGGATGGTACCTTACCGGAGCGGAGGGTATCCTCCAGCAGAGTGACACGGAAGCCTATCTCTGGGCGCGCAAGGCTGCGACTGCCGGTCTCGCCAAAGCAGAATACGCGATGGGATATTTCACCGAAGTCGGTATCGGTGTAGCTGCCAACTTGGACGATGCGAAGAGATGGTACTGGCGGGCAGCTGGTGAGTCTATCTACTTTCTCAAACACTGTCTATCTGCTAATGTGACTTTACTACAGCACAACAATTTCCCAAAGCTCGTGAGCGTCTCGAGGAGATCAAGCAGGGCGGCGCTCGGATGCAAAAGACCCGACTGTCCCGATCTGCTGTCAATCAACAGAAGCAGAACGAAGGCGATTGTGTCATCATGTGAATGAGCATGGGAACTGGATGGTGAAAAGTCTGGGGGGATGTTTCTGTTTTCGTTCTACCAGTTTAATACTCTTTTTTGGATCCGTCTGCCAGTGTATTTTGATCGCTGGCGAATGCTTATACCCAACCTAACGAGCTGGAGCTGGATTACTATGATGTATGCATTTTCTGGCCTGGGAGAACTTCACTGGGAATGATTGATGAATTGGGCAGGTCAATCTGGATTGTACCGTACCGCATCGTCAACTCCCATGATTATTTTGCTTAGACTAGACACCGCATGATGATGCTGTTTTATAATACTTTAATGAACCTGCTTCTATGGACAAACTGTAATACCTTAATAGTGACATATATATTCATGCTATTCATGCTCTGTAGGAAGGAAGTAGAAAATCCCGCGGCGTAATTCCGCACTTCCGACGGCGGATAGCGCCTCCTCCCGATCGGATCGCTAATGATTACAATATCGCCCTCCCTCATCAAATCACACCACCAAACCACATTCTAACCCCAAAGACCCTGCATAATAATCACAAATCATTAGGAATCCTTCTCGTGAAACACAAAGAAGGTCCTTCTGCACCCTTCCATGCATCATTCCCTCCCCCCCTTTATCTACCCTACCCCAATCCGCAGAAAATACCCGCACCTAACTTGAACCGGGAAGATTCCGAATCCTTCCTATAGATATCTATGTCTTCTGCCCCCGTTCCGCCATCCTCCGCATCATCTCAGAACACCAGTGACACAAGCACCCCAAAACAAAAACCAATCCTGGCGGTCTTATCGGTGATTACTCTGCTGATTGCGATTGCTATCGCTGGCTTTTGGGGGTATACGGGAAGTACTAGCGCTACGGACGACGCCAATCTGTTCGGTCTTAGACGATTTTTTGGTGCGGGTGGTAGGGCTGCTTCTGCTTCGCGGGGGTTTGCTGCTAGTACTTCTACTGCTACCAGTGGTCGTGTTCTGGATCAAGTGAAGAAGTTGGGAGAAGGAGTTGAAGATCGAGTTACTATGGCGAGGACACCGGTTTATTTTTTGAGCCATGGTGGGGTGGGTTTTTTATCTTCTCCGTTTTGTTGTTTTTGTATGATTTGGGACGGGTTGGGATGCTGATTATGCGCAGCCAAATATCATGTATGATCATGAGCACCCGGCGTATCACAAGTTGGCTGAGATTGGGAAGGAAATCACTACTAAGGTGAAGCCGCGCGCGGTCGTGGTTTTCTCGGCTCATTGGCAGGCTGGGAGGGATACTATCCAAGTTAATACGGCGGAGATTACTGATTTGATTTATGAGTATGTTGTCGCAAGGATTCTTTTCCCTAATAGTGGGATTTGAGTGGCCGGCTAACGTTGGGTCTAGCTTTTATGGCTTCCCTAGCCATTACTACAAGGAGAAGTATCCTAATGTTGGAAGTCGGGAGGTTGCGAATAAGGTCTTGGATGCGCTGAGCCAGGCGGGTATTAAGGGTGAGGGGGTGAAGAGAGGACTCGACCATGGTGTGTGGGCGAGTTTCAAGTGCGGTATGTTTGAATCAGATTGGACGATGGTCTGGCTGGGTAATGCTGACTTTTATAGCCTTTGAGCCTGAGAAGAACCCTCTGAATGTTCCTGTGGTGCAGGTATCGCTGTTCAAAACGGAGGATCCTATCCAACATTACCGACTGGGTCAGGCGGTTTCGAGACTCCGTGAGGAGAACATCTTGATCATTGTCTCCGGTATGGCGGTGCATAACCTGCGCGATATGCAATTCACCTGGGGTGACCCGCGGCCTTTGCCGTATACTGCCAGCTTCGATGAAGCTCTGAAGGAGGCCGTCACGAAAGCGCCGGCGGAGCGAGAACAGGCTATGGCAGATTTGCTGAAACGTCCGGATGCTCGGCAGGCCCACCCGTACTTCGATCATCTGCTTCCAATTCATATTGGAGCCGGAGCTGCGGGCGATGATGTTGGGAGGAGACTGTGGACCTTGAAGGAGGGAAGCATGAGTTGGGCGCAGTATAGATTCGGCGAGATTGCCAACAGTACTAGTTCTTTGTAGAGTGAAGAGCGAGCAATGGAATCGTGTAAATATTGACTGGGTTATCACGGCGAACGAGTTTCATTTCATCTATAGATACAGTGCAAATTGGAAATGCGGTGCATGAACATATACGGACGCGTCGTGATTTCGCTATGAAGACGCCTTCACCAACTGAGTGATCTTCTCTTCGATCTGCTGATCCGTCAAGCCTGGGGGAATAGCATGGTCAGTTTTGCCTTTATATTCTCCGCTCAAGAATCTTACCGGTCAGAGCTTCCTGCTTCTCTTGGCCGAAAGCTGCGAGATTATTAGCCATGTAATCATCCATCATTGGTGTCGTTTCGAGAACTTTGTCGTACCGTATCTGGCGTACACCCTAGGCACAGTACCAGCTGCCTCGCGCATCAGGATGGGGGTGTAAGGGTTGTGCTTCTTCATGGTCGGGTATGCGCGCTGCAAGAACGAGCTACAGATACCAGTTGTCAGTAACTCCCTAGAATGATAGCAAATGGGTACATTGGAGACTCACCGAGTAGCAGCACTAGCCTGAGAGGTCTGGCAGAAAAGGAAGCGCAGCTCCTTCAGACCCTTGGTGAAGACGTACTTGGACGACATTGTGGGGGAAGATCGTGATAGACGGGAGGACCGGAGTTCGCAACGAAAGTCAACAACAAAAATTAGCCCCGTAAAAATCGGCACAGGGTATCAATTGGGGGCGACGGAGGGGTCAGGGACCGATAATGGGAGCTTGAAGCTGATCACAGGGACTCTGGGGGAGGAGACGATGAATTGATTCCCGCTGGAGGTTCTGAGCCCGTACAGACCAATCCGGTCAAGCGTGATTGTCACCGCTTACCTCAGCCGGAAAAGAGCCGCAACCCCCAACGGAAGGCCGACCTCGGGGCCGCTGGGACTCACTCTTCCCTTCGTCATTTTACCAAGACTCCATTCTCAAATTCCCCCGACTGGTCGCCTGTAGCTGTTGTTGCGCACGGCGTGTATTGAACATCTCCACTCTCTTCTTCAATTGGACCGACACTTGTCCTTTTCTCTCCGGTTTTGTACCCTCTCACCGCCGTCCTTGATTCGTCCCTCTTCTCGCCTTATCCGCGCCATACAAAATCACCATGTCGTCCTCCCGTGTTGGTCTTCGTTTCTTCCAGAACACCAGAGCTGCTTTCCGTAACGCATATGGCCCTTTCCGTCGGCCTGGTGCCCAGGGCTTCCGCTTCCAGAGCTCCGATGCTGCGGCCGCTGAGCAACAGAGCACTTTCCAGCGTCTATGGAACAGCCCGGTCGGTGTGAAGACGGTGCATTTCTGGTGAGTCTAGACTCGGATATTATGCTATTGCATTTGCTTTTTTCTTCTATCATGTGAACGTTTGCGTTGTACTGTATTTTAACATTGATGTGTCATAGGGCCCCCGTTATGAAGGTACGAAACCATGCACCGTGCTGAAACCCGTTCCTCGATCCAACTTCTTTGATTCGCGATAATCGTCCTACTATATCTTTGTGCTGTTCGACTGACTCAATCAGTGGGCTCTTGTCATTGCCGGTATCTCCGACTTTAGCCGCCCTGCCGAGAAGCTGTCCCTTACTCAAAACGGTGCCTTGATGGCCACTGGTTGCATCTGGACTCGCTGGTGCATGATCATCACCCCCAAGAACTACCTGTACGCACACCAACCCCGATCTATGAATATTGTGGGAAAGAATACTGACTGGCTAGGCTCGCTGCTGTCAACTTCTTCCTCGGATGTGTCGGTGTTGTCCAGGTTGGCCGCATCATCAACTACCGCCGTAGCGTTGATGGCTCGACCACCGCCGCCGTGAAGGATCTGGAACAGGAGGTTGCCGACGACGCCAAGGCCGTTGCTACTCAGGCGAAGGCTGCAGTCGAGAAGTCTACCTAAACAACTCTTGTTCATTGACAAGGATTGCGTAAAGAGCAGCCTGAGCGACAATAGATTGTCTTGGCATTGGTGAGTAGGCTCATAGAGCATATTATGAGATGAAGTTGGCTGGAGGCGACTCCGACTTATATATGTACATATTCCCTTATAAATTGCATCGACATTCCTCTTTGCTTGCCAGTGTTGTAGACCAATGAAACCATTGAGATCGGCTTATGTGACCCTGAAATGGAGATACTGAGACTCTTTGGTGACTTTCTCACAGTATGATGCTTACTTGGTTGAAGCTGAGCAGCTGTTGGCCTTTTAAATGGCGTCTTTGTGGTGATGTATATTGTCCGTGAGTATTGTACCACACGGAGTTTGCACTAACCTGCACTTACCGCAAGTTGCGGGAATTGGCCTGCGCGACAATATCATCTAACCGGGATCAATGAATAACCGGATAATGTTTTCATTGAAAATGAAGTCATGATGCAGAGAATGGCTGGGGTAAGTTCCCTGCCAATTCCCCATACACACGTTTTTCCCCCAATCGGATAATCGTCGCCGACAAGCCCTCCTATCACATCGTCTCTCGTTGTTCCTCCACGCAATCCCCCACCACCTCATTCTCCCGCAGCTAACTGTCCCCAAGTGCCCCTGTTGATTACAGGAGCAAGCCACAAGCTTAGCATAGCTCCACCGTCGTGGTTTGTTCGCTTTGTTTGGTTGATTTCGTTTCCCCGGATATGGAGCACAGCGAAATCCCCAACTTGAAGGATCAATGGTGTGGTCAGTGTGGGCAAGACTGCGGGGAGATGATGCCTACTCGATGCAATGGATATAAATTCCAGAGGCGACCGTCATTCCTTTGCATTGACTTTGTTCAAGCTCCGCTCGTGAAACCGGACTTGTCACCTGTCAATCTCTCACAATGAGACTCACGCACGTTCTCTCTCACACGCTTGGCCTTCTTGCGCTAGGAGCAACAGCAGAAGCTTTCTCCCGGTCCAGAGAAGCCGCCTGCAGCCCGAAAAAGCCTTTCCGGCCTCTACCTACAAGCTCGAGCAGGGACAAGACCTGCCATGTCCGCAGCCATGGTGACGGCAGTGACGACTCTGATTACATCCTCTCCGCACTGCACCAATGTAATCACGGTGGAAAGGTTGTTTTCGATGAGGACAAGGAGTACATTATCGGCACAGCGTTGAATATGACCTTCCTGAAGAACATTGACCTAGGTGCCTATTCTGCAGATCCGTCGATCGTCAAGTTGAACATTGACTAACGCTTATGGTTCAACAGAGGTCCTCGGAACGATCTTATTCACCAACGATACAGACTACTGGCAAGCCAATTCCTTCAAACAAGGCTTTCAGAATGCCACGACCTTTTTCCAGCTCGGTGGTGAAGATGTGAACATGTACGGTGGTGGTACCATCAATGGCAACGGACAGGTCTGGTATGATCTGTATGCGGAAGATGATCTCATTCTGCGTCCCATCTTGATGGGCATCATCGGGCTGAATGGAGGCACAATCGGTCCGTTGAAGTTGCGGTACTCGCCGCAGTACTACCACTTCGTGGCTAATTCGTCGAATGTCCTCTTTGATGGGATTGACATTTCGGGTTATAGTAAGAGCGATAACGAGGCGAAGAACACCGATGGATGGTGCGTTTCTATACCCGATATTGCCTTGAGTGTTATACTAATTCGTCGTTCTGTAGGGATACCTATCGCTCGAACAATATCGTCATCCAGAACTCGGTGATCAACAACGGTGATGGTAAGTCCAACCTGAAGAAGCGTTATGTCCCAACAATTCTAACCTACAAAGACTGCGTCTCCTTCAAGCCAAACAGCACCAACATTCTCGTTCAGAATCTTCACTGCAATGGCTCCCACGGCATTTCCGTTGGCTCTCTCGGCCAATACAAGGACGAGGTTGACATCGTTGAGAATGTTTATGTGTACAATATCTCCATGTTCAATGCTTCGGTGTGTCTGACTCTAACATGCATATATATTTCTTACTAACTTGTTTTGCAGGACATGGCCCGCATCAAGGTTTGGCCTGGTACTCCATCTGCACTATCTGCCGATCTTCAAGGCGGCGGTGGCTCGGGCAGCGTAAAGAACATCACCTACGACACCGCACTCATTGATAATGTCGACTGGGCTATTGAAATCACGCAGTGCTATGGGCAGAAAAATACTACCTTGTGCAACGAGTACCCGGTTAGTAGACCTTTCAACCGCTTCCCGTGAAGTATTTCTAACGTGCAAGCAGAGCTCTCTCACCATTTCAGACGTCCACATCAAGAACTTCCGCGGAACGACGTCGGGATCCGAAGATCCCTATGTTGGAACAATTGTCTGTTCAAGTCCTGATGTAGGTGCCCAGTAGTATAGGCGTCTGGTGCGCAATAGGCTGACACTCAATAGACTTGCTCGGACATCTATACGTCTAATATCAATGTGACAAGCCCGGACGGAACCAACGACTTTGTCTGCGATAATGTGAGTTCTTAGATTAACCCTAGGCAGAGATCGTGGCTAATGCTGTCCAGGTCGATGAGAGTCTTCTGAGTGTCAACTGTACCGCCACTTCTGATTGAATCAAGATGCCTGTTATTATGCGCTGGAAGTCAGGCCTTACTTAGACGGATGAAAAAACGTGTATATATTACATTAGGGCTCGATTTTGTATATACGTGAACGAATGCCTACTGTCTGCTTTTGACTCAAGGAAGGTCAGGCGACAAGAAGCTTTTGGTTCGAACTTTGATATTGGTTCTTACTAGACACTCCTGCTTTTTGCATGCGATACGTCACATCCGAGGGAAAGATCAAAGTTATATTTGCAGAGTACAGTCTCCTGGATGGCGTTGCGCTGACTGTCCAGAATACTACTCTTCTGCATTTACCTGCTGTACATCTAACAAACAAGCAACCAGCACAGCCACCTACCAAGAGTAGTAGAATATAGAGCGCTCCGATGAGGTCATGTAGACAATACTAGAGCCTTGAAAATGTAAGTTGCGAACCATATTTCAATGCTAGGTAATCTTAAGTCTTGCAGCCAGACTTGGAACCGAAGTCTCTTCTCACACGAACTCCCGGCTGATGATCGTGATCTCCTTAAAAGCACACAACCAGCGGACTACATAACTGGGCAGCTGACAACCTTACGCACACCTTTACTTTGGAACCAAGTGGCAATAATTCATCTTCATTCCTGGTGCGTCATGCACCTCCTGCAGGGTTGGGTACTATGAGAGATTAGACATATCCTAGGTGAGTCTGTTACTCAGCTTCCCTGAGAGAAGCCCGATGTATGGTATCTTGGACAGTTCAACGGGGTCAAGCTCAGGATGGCTTGATTTTTGTTGTACTGCCACTGGTTAGATGCGGTAAGAACCTCTACTGACGAGTCTTTCCCAACCCAACATAGCTACCATTGTCTTTATCTGGACCAAATAACATCGACGAATGTATCGACGTGTAAGTACTGCGAGTTGGGAGTGTCATTGTGATACATCCAATCATGATCGGCATACCGACTATCCAGCCAGTGTCAATTGACGTATCACCGATCTGTGGGTTTTAAATAACTGGGAGCATGGATCAAAATTCTGATCGTTTCTTTACACCTTTACACAACCCAAGTGCTATTCCATCAAAATGTCATACGATATCAAAGATCTATTCAATGTGCGCGGCCTAGTTGCCGTCATCACTGGCGGGAGCTCCGGTATGTGTCACGGTCACTCTTTGAATCCTCCAAACATATAGCTGATGATGCTACTATTGCAGGTCTGGGTAAGACGATGGCTCTCGCCCTCGCTACCAATGGAGCCAGCAGAGTCTATATCCTGGGCCGCCACAAAGAGACTCTCGAAGATACAGCCGACTTGCATCCCGGCATTATTATCCCTATCGTCGCTGATGTGGGCTCAAAGGCCTCTCTTGCTGCCGCTGCCGATCAAATTCATACGGAAACTGGGTACATCAACCTCCTCGTCGCAAATGCAGGAATGCTCTATATGGACACGCCAGAAGCCATCAGTGTAAAGGTCGGTCGCTCTTTACAGGAGAATGCGACCCCTGATGAGTTGGAATCGTTCCTCATGGATACCCCGGTCGATGAATTCTTGGACACGTTCCGGGTAAACACAACAGGGGTATTCTACACCATTGCGGCCTTTATATCATTACTGGACAAAGGCAACAAGCGAGGAAATGTCTTTCAAAAGAGCCAGGTGATTGCTGTGAGCAGTGTAGCAGCACATAACCGGAGAGTGGTTGGAGGTTGTGCATACGGGATGAGTAAGGCTGCTGTGATCATGTTAATGAAGAAGATGATGACATACTTGATTCCTCACGGGATTCGGGCAAACACAATCTCTCCTGGCCGTGAGTATTTCCATCTTCGATTTCGAAGTTAGGTACTGATTGGACCAGTGTTCCCAAGCAATCTGTGTGGAAGCCCAGCCAATGAAGAGATCTCGATTGAAGGCGCGTTTGACCGAGAGTTCATTCCACTGCAAAGAGCAGGGAGGCGCGAGGAGATTGCTGGAACTATTCTGTATCTGGCCAGCAAGGCAGGCGGGTATGTTAATGGGGATTTGCATCTGATTGATGGGGGCATGGCAGGATGCAGCAGTTGATTTCAATGCGGTGTGGGGTTCTCTTTTCTCAAGTCCAAATGGTGTTTAATTTGTTCGGGGTCAGCTGTATTGGCCACATGATATGGTTTTTGCATAGCCAGGCTGGGGGACCGGGGTTATATATATATACTACTATATCTTAATCTACTAGAATGTTAATCTAATTAATTCACTAGCGAACACCGGATACTGGTGTGTACACAATTCATGACGCCGTGCTTCACAAATAATAGTCGAATGGGATACTGCAGTGACACAATCGTCATTATTTCCCTGCAGTCAGTACAGGGTATCAAGCTGTGTCATATAGCGAGTATTACACGGCATGCGTGGTAGTCCACTGATTCAAGCCCCAGCCTCCAGTATTCCCGGATTAGGAGCACCCATCCAGGCTGTGCCACTTACCGACCTGAATCACCATGTTTGCCAAGGTTGATAGTCACACCAAGCCTTCCACAGCTGTTTAAAATGACCATTTGCCTCTCAGGAGCTGGAGTGGGGATGTGGCGATGCCAATGCTACTAGTGGTTGTGGCTGTTCAGGTCCCCTCTATATTTTTAGAATGTGGCTGGAGCTACGCAGTTTCAGTTTACCCGATATGACCGATATCATCTTACTACCCCAGGCATGAGTGGAAGGAACAGTATGATGATGAATCCTCTGCTACGAGTAAGTAATTCTTTCATAACTAATACAAGGATTCCCCCAATTTTAGGATCTTGAACTCAAGTATAGTAGCAATTGAATGTAGACTATTGAAAAGTCACGCGCCCGTCTTGCCCGGCCCACTCGATCCCTGTGCGGATCATTCCATCATTCCGTCTCTCTCTCCAAGCCCGATGCTTTCAAAGTCCAACGGTACTGGTACTCGGGCGGGGCCCGAACCTCCAGCTTTAGTTGTTTGTCTACTACCACTATACTATTACCCTCGTAGATATCCAGATTGAAGGTAATCACAATGAAAGCATCATATTCCCCCCAAGAAGCAATAAACCCACAACAGAACCTTCCAGCAATTAATAAGGTCTGCTGCCTACTGTGAGTCGTGAAGCCCCACCACATCCACAATCCACCCCTCTTTTTTCATCTTTTAAGAAAATCGACCCACCCAAGCTGCTGCAGGGTGACTTCACCAGCAGCAGTCCCGCGTCCCAGGGTCTCCATTCATTCCACTGTAGGAAGTTAGATGATTAGTTAGTTTTCCTTAGTAGTGAGTAGGGCAGCAATGCTTGGATCTTCCCCTTATATAAACCTTCTTCTTGACCCCTCTGCTCTCTTCCTTGCTCAACTTTTCTCATTCATCCCCAACTCCCACCTCACTTACTTACCCCCTTTCCTTTCTCTCCTCCAACCTTCATAAGAGAAAATTAAGTTACTACCAAAATGTCCTTCCACAACAGCTGCCAAAACATCCACCTCATTCACGAGCCCGGTGCTACTTTCCTGCACGCCGAAGTGCGTCGCGCGAATGGAGAGTACGTGGCTCGCAAGATCCGTCTTGATAGACATATCGGGAACACGGATGGTATGTCCTTCCCTCCTTCCCTTCCCTTTTTCCCCACTCTTTTTTTCCCCCTTCCTTTCATCTTAGAGCATGAAAAGTCATCACAAAAAGTAGAAAATTGATATTGATATGGATACTGACTTGACTCCGGGATTTGATATAGGCTGGTTCATCTGGGGCGGCTCCAACTTCACCGAAACCGCCAAGGACATTCAGCTCGAGAACACCGGCCGCGGTCCCAAGTTGACGGCGTACTTGAGGAAGCGGGATGGCGGATACAGAGAATTGCAGGGCCTGTATCTGGCGGATAAGATTGCTAATGAGAATGGAGAGTTGGTGTTTAAGGTATGTATTATATTATCCCTTCCTACACTTTATTGTTGGGTGTTTTATGATTGGGAAGATTGAATTTGGGCTGACGTGGTGGGGGTTCGTTGTTATAGGGACCTTAGATATATTCAACCTAGTTATCTATCGGGTCGATTGGAGAAGTACTAGAAGAGATACCTAATAGGAAAGGATGGATGGATGGGGTTGTTTGTATGATTGGAGATATTGCATAGCGAATGATAATCATTTTTTATTAATATTTCTATCAATATGCCCAAAAAGATTATTGATAGGACCTACAGAACTGGTAGAAGAGAGAGAGAGAGAGAGAGAGAGAGAGAGAGAGATTACTTACTAGGTAAATGTAAATATACCCAAAGAGGGGCAAGGCACTGTCTATTTCCTCCTTACGGAATGTTGCAGCCATTGCCACATACTACATGCATATGATGTGCTGTCCTGGTTGGTTATTGTTCAGCGAGCATGGTGGGCTGTGCTTACTGCCTGCGTACGTAAGTTGGCACTCGTGAGCTGATTGAATAGGTACAGGTCGTGCTACGTTTTTTTGTTTAGGGGGGAGATAATTGCTTGTCGTGATGAGGGAGGGGAATGCTTATGCTTATGCTTACTTTAAGCTTAGTAGATGTGCTTTGGTAGCATGGGTATCAGAGCTGAGAAAGCGTCCTTGTTCACTGCTGATGGGTAGTAATGTTGTGATATGCTGTGGTGTTGTATTTGCAAAGCTTGGCTGGATTTAAGAGTACCCCACATTCTTAGTACGGTGTGGTTAGGTTGATGGTCGGGGAGGAGGGCTGCCTGCCTGACCACGCGGAGGACGGGGGCCATGTGGGATGTGGAATGTGTGATGCCTTATTTACGACCCCGCATCCCTGGTAACTACGATAGTTGTGTTGATGTTGGGGGAATGGGTTGTAAGTCGTTCTGATAAAGAAGTGGATTACATGGATGAATTTTGGTGATTTAGTTAGTCGCTACTCCTTGTTTAGCTAGGATAAAAAAAAAAAAAAAATCTAAACGGGGAGTTAATGAGACACTTTATAGCTTTTTTGGGATGGGTTAGTGACTTTGCTTTTACTGTATGATCACCATAAGGCTATCAGCTCAGATCATACGGTATCAGAGGTTCTAGACATCAAGGGAATTACTTGGGACGCCTCGACGGGTTTGACACATGGTGATACAGTGCGTATCAGCAGTGGTGGTGGTGGTGCTTTCTTACTCCCGAAAATTAGACAGATCTTAGTACTTCTCACGGTTACCACCTCACATGACCGGGATCCGTCCAGTAGCCTGTCACACCAGACATGGCAGATCCTTGCAGTGTCACTACAGACATACTCGCTCATCATTCGTGGCAAGCAGAAGTTGGGTGTGTGTGTGGGTGTGTATAATAGTCTAGATGAGTGAAAGTGCTCACCGGGTCATTGATCCATGGTAGTATGGTCTGAGGCAATTCCTATCCCAGTGTTATTGACATCCATTTGCCTCCCTCCTTTCCTTAAGCGCATTAGCTCAGTGTATATAGCACCACTCGCTATAATTGATTGCATCTCGTATTGATAGACTCTCGGCTAAAGTTGAATTTTTCTGGATGGCGCATGCACTGGCGGGACGAGACGTCGTGGTCGCCAAGCCTCTTGGCATGACACGCTGATTCCTGACGGGCGACGGACATTCTACGCCTGGAACCAGAGATACGGGGACAGATTCTACCCATTGGAGGGAGGCGAGTCACCCGGTATAGGCCTTTCCTGGATAAGAATAAGAAATTAAACCACGTGTGAAGTTGAAAAGAGTCTTTCGGACAGGTCCGAGGCTGTTCCTCCAGACCCAACAAAGAATCCCGCGAACGGAGGGCCAACTTCGGACCAAGACCTAGATGCGGACAGGAAGACCAGTTACCTTCCGACTCAGCGGGCTGGGCAACCTTGGATAGTTGGGGTGGCGTCGCGGCCGTCTGTGCTCGCTACCAGGTGTTCTGGAGAGGAAGGCTCGTGATTAGCTCCGGATTACGGGCCATCATCGGAAAGGTTACATTGGAGCTTAACATAGGAGAAAGTGATTTCGGGGAACTATTGACATGGGAGGCGAGAACAATGAGGGTGACATGCCAGGGTCAAAGAAAGATGCTTACTAGGTTACCCCGATACACCAGAGTGCGCTGGAGGATGTTGGTGAAAGTTGATCAGGGTCCGAGAAAGCTCATCTCGTGATCGGAAACCCAAAATGACAGCACTAAGCGGATCCGGCTAGCCTGGCACCTGATATTGTGGGGAATCTCTCTCCAACGCAACACGTGGTAGGCTCAATTTTCCGACCCCTGTGAAACCCTGCCAATCAGAGTGAAGGCCAGAGCCAGACGGGGTTTGCCGGCCTGGACCGAGTTTCTGTTTGGCTGTTGGCAACTAAATCCTGTCAACAAGGTCGTACTATACTAGTAGGTTTACTTGCAGACTTACTATGCCTAGTAGGGTGTATAGCAGCGACTCGTCCTGGGTTGGTACTGGACCTCCCCGTGAACCGTTGCCCCCCCCTGTGGGTGCATTTCTTACGGTCAACCTGGGGAAACCAGGTCTGGGGTCGCACAGAACTTTCCCCTGTGGGTAAACTTAACGCTCCGGGAAATTACCTCAGCCTGATGATTGGACATTGCAGGCTGGAAAAGAGGCATTCACCTTCGAAGCGAGCCATCCCAATCAAGCCTGGTGGTAATTTCGGATTCTGGGCCCTGGTGCATTCCATCGGTAGACTGCAGTGAATGGCGCTCCACAGCAATGGCAGTCATGCAGCCCAACGAGTCGCGGCCGGCGGCCAAACTGGAAGGACGGCATCGTGGCCAAAGCTGGGGAACCCCGTGGGCATTCCCCGGAACCGATGCTGGCCCGATTCCCAACGGGAAGTTGCGAGTCCAGCAGAGTGAGCTGAGCATGATGCAACTTGGTCCCTCGCACAGGATTATAAAACCGTCCAATACCCCTGGTCTCGAGTTTTCTTGTTTCTCGGTGCTTTCCTCCCCCTCTTTTCTCCGTCCCTTTCCCTCATATTCTCCGGTCTCCGTGTGAACGCCGCTACCTTTCCCCTTATTGCTGCCATAAGGCTTCTGCCCATCCTTCTTCTTGTCGGTTTCTCTTTCACTGTGCAGACCGTCACACAGTTTCTCCCTTAGTAGCCATGGCTGAAGGCTTCGTTGACGCCTCGCGCGTCGAGGCCCCAGTCACCCTCAAGACCTACTTGATGTGTGCCTTTGCGGCTTTTGGTGGTATCTTCTTCGGTTATGACTCTGGTTATATCAGCGGTGTCATGGGAATGAGATACTTCATCGAGGAGTTTGAGGGCTTGGTACGTAGCGTCGTTGCATCAAACTATTATGAAGCGGGAGGGACTGACTTCGATGTAGGACTATAACACTACCCCCACCGATTCCTTCGTCCTCCCGTCCTGGAAAAAATCGTTGATCACGTCGATCCTCTCGGCTGGAACCTTCTTTGGTGCCCTCATTGCTGGTGACTTGGCAGACTGGTTCGGTCGTCGCACTACCATTGTCAGTGGTTGTGTTGTCTTCATCGTTGGTGTTATCCTGCAGACCGCTTCGACCTCCTTGGGTCTGCTTGTTGCCGGCCGTCTGGTCGCGGGATTTGGTGTGGGCTTCGTCTCCGCCATCATTATCCTGTACATGTCTGAGATTGCACCTCGCAAGGTTCGCGGTGCTATTGTCTCAGGGTACCAGTTCTGCATCACCATCGGGCTCATGTTGGCCTCGTGCGTCGACTACGGCACTGAGAACCGTCTCGACTCTGGCTCCTACCGTATCCCAATCGGCCTCCAGCTCGCCTGGGCCTTGATCCTGGGAGGTGGTCTGCTCTGCCTGCCCGAGTCCCCTCGTTACTTTGTTAAAAAGGGCGACCTGGCTAAGGCTGCGGAGGTTCTTGCCCGCGTTCGTGGTCAACCCCAAGACTCGGATTATATCAAGGATGAGCTGGCGGAGATTGTGGCAAATCATGAGTACGAGATGCAGGTGATTCCGGAAGGTGGATATTTCGTCAGCTGGATGAACTGCTTCCGTGGCAGTATATTCTCGCCCAACAGCAATCTCCGTCGGACTGTCCTAGGTACTTCTCTGCAGATGATGCAACAGTAAGTCTCAACCTTGCCACACACACACACACACACACACACACAGAAAGGGAAAGAAATACTGACCGTCCTCTAGGTGGACCGGTGTCAACTTTGTCTTCTACTTTGGAACGACCTTTTTCCAGTCGGTGAGTAAGCTCGATCTGTGCTTGAGATGATGCGCTGACGGAGTTATAGCTGGGAACCATCGATGACCCCTTCCTCATCAGCATGATTACCACTATCGTCAACGTCTGCTCGACCCCCGTCTCGTTCTACACAATTGAGAAGTTTGGCCGCCGTTCGCTCCTTTTGTGGGGAGCACTTGGTATGGTCATCTGCCAGTTCATTGTCGCTATCGTCGGCACCGTGGACGGTAGCAATAAGCACGCTGTCAGTGCAGAGATTTCTTTCATCTGCATTTACATCTTCTTCTTTGCTAGCACGTGGGGCCCGGGCGCCTGGGTTGTGATTGGCGAGATTTTCCCCCTACCTATTCGGTCGCGTGGTGTGGCTCTGTCGACGGCATCGAACTGGCTGTGGAATTGCGTAAGTAGATTGCTCCCCTATTGATGAAACATGCTGACCGGTCAGATCATCGCTGTCATCACCCCTTACATGGTCGACAAGGACAAGGGTGACTTGAAGGCCAAGGTGTTCTTCATCTGGGGCTCGCTGTGTGCCTGCGCTTTTGTCTACACGTACTTCCTAATTCCGGAGACCAAGGGTCTTACTCTTGAGCAGGTGGACAAGATGATGGAAGAGACCACGCCTCGCACCTCAGCCAAGTGGACTCCACATGGCACCTTCACGGCCGAGATGGGTCTTACTGCGAATGCCGTGGCCGAAAAGGCTACTGCGGTTCACCAGGAGGTGTGAAGGACGGGATATCAGTTTCGACAATGGTTTGCTGCTGACGACGAGTTGGTGGGTCTGCATACATAAGGGTATGCTCGGTTACTATCATGATTAATCTAGCTTGCTTAATTCTGTTTACTTTACGTTAGTTATAGCTAAGTAATGACGCATGATACCACCATAATCGTATCTTTTTGTGACCTGTTCCGTGTCTTTGTCTTCGTGTCCATATCGAACGGTAAGAATATGAGTGAACCCGCCTGGGCAAACCTAGACAAGTCGGAATCTTCCAACACCCCGCTAAGAGCAAGGGAAGCGATTGAAGCCTCTGTAGTGCGGGATCCACATCATGTCGCCGTGAAAACTTGGCTGGTGCGACTAGAAGTGGGGGGTGTTGTGTCCCTGACTCTGCCTATCGTGTGGTAGCTGCGAGCATCCTTATAGTCCATTAAGACAGTAGAATTACTAAGACAACATGGCCGAGTGGTCTAAGGCGATAGACTTGAAATCTATTCTCTTCGGAGGCGGCGGTTCGAACCCGTCTGTTGTCGTTTTTTGTCCCGAGATTATTTTTGGTGATGCCCCACCAATTCTTTGCATTTGTCAAATTCTAAGTTTTTGGTTTCATAATCCATCTTTATCTCTAGTAATTTCCACTTCATAATGAAGTTTATCCATCTTGGGTGAAGTATAGATTGAGTGTCGATCTTGTATAGTAACGGACTAGAGTAGGCAGACACAATTTACTAGGGCCATCCATGCACCAGGGAATGTCAATAGCTACCCAACCACCTACACAGTACAACTACGTGGTGGATTCAATGCATCACCATCTCCCACTAGATTATCTAGATCGGGAGAGTGTCCCCATGGGTCCCGTTGCGCAAATCGTAATCCTACTACTAAGTAGTAGCATACAAATGCTTATGCTCTACGCCAAAGTATATTTGCTTGAGGTGGAGTTAGTTTGCCAGGAATGCTACTACTAACTGAGGTAAAAAGGGCAGATTCACTATATCTACAACTATAAGTAACCGCACAGAGGAGTATACTTCGTCACAAGAATCAAAGTAGTCACTCGTAGTCAAAAAAGTAGTAGAATCTATCCGCCGTGCCGAATTGGATCAGGCGTGGTTCCGCTGTGCCAAGACACGCCGCGGCGGAGGGCCTACGTACACCCGCCGCCGATCTTCTCTCACTTTCTCTCCGCCCGTTGCAATGCTTCGCAACGCATTTCATCGTCTCCACGAATCACCGCTCGTTGTTTACTCAGTGTGTGTGCTCGCCAAGCCGCCGGCTGTTTGTGCGTGATGAGCCTATTCCTAATGGTGTGGATGTGCATACGCCCCCCACGGCCTTGCAGGGCCACTCACTTACGTGACAGGGTGTTTGTCCCTGATTTTGGGGGTCTTCTTACGTCCCTGTCTGTTCTTCCCCTTCGATTAGAGGGTCCTAGGCTAGACGGCTAGATTATCTGGTCGACTGTGCGGGTCAAGGGATTACGTGCTGGCTGTCTCCATTTTGTGCCCTTGATAGATTGGAGAGGGAGGCTGTGATAAGGGTACGGTGCTGGATGACGACGTTAGTACTTACAATGGCTGGCATGGCTCTGTGCTGGAGGTGTTCTAATCTTGGGTTTACGTGGTAGGGTGTGGTCTTTATCCCGCGTTTACTATACTCTTGATCTACACATCGACGCACGGCCAGTTGCTCTGCTTGTGGAAGGAAATTATTCCTCGAACGGTTCAACCTCGGCCCTGTCAATCCGCGCCACAGTCCTCCGGATACTCTCCGTTCGGATCACGGATATTTTGACTGACCAGTGCATGAAATGACCCGATAGGATTAAATCGGCCAATAACAGCCGCTTTTGAGGTCCTCGGGCCGTGAAACTGCATGTGTGTCGACAACTCCTTGTTTGCTCCTGGTTGCCAAGTCCGGCGGCATATGAATCATTGAGCACCCCGTGGACTATTCTTGCAGCAAGGAGATTGAATAATAGGACGACAAGCTTCGGATACTTCGGACATCCAATTGCCGCAGTGGTGCCAAGCCTCCTCAAACTGGATGATTAAGCGGCACATCCACTTGGTGGAGACGACGATCAGCCTGAATCGTGGCTCGGTAGCGAGGATGTTGAAGTTAGATCTTGCTGGAGCATACTTTGCTGTTGACTGACGACTGGCCGAAGTATTCACTGTTCTCTCCAAAATCTTGTGAAGACTGACTTGGGGGATACGCTGGGAATGAGAAGGGCTGACCTGCTTTTGCTTGGTAGGTATGTGATGCTGTGGTCACTTGTCATTAGTCTGGAGGGCTACCTTTCTGGCTAGAGAATATCTAGCTAGCGAAGCTAGAAGCTTCTTAAGACCCATACAGGTCCCTATTATCGAGATGGGTTACCCTGGACTACCCTGAGCTAAACCGAAAACGCTGCGGACCTGAAAAGACGCCCATTCATGCATAGGTCTGTCACAACTTAGCCATAATTCAGCAACCCCTTCTCCACAAGTGGATGTCGGGCCGCGTCGTCATGGGGGATCGTGCCCTACCTATCAAAGGTCTGGCCCCAGCACGATGAAGCAATTCGAAGCCCTCCAAGCCCTTGGCGACAGCTGAACAATTGCCGGCGTTTCATTTGGCAGTCTGGTCCCTTGGTTGCGTCAGCTGGATAGTATCATTTCGATGGTGATGATGTTCTCGAAAAAAAAGATATAAAGCGCTCTGTTCCCGGCGGATAGATCTCATTAGCATCCAACAACATCCTCACCAGCGCTCATTTACTGCCTCCATTCTCTTACCTTCTTTTCCAGTTGATATCCATCAAAATGGTCCAGCTTAACACGCTCCTTACCGGCCTGGCTGGCCTTGCCAGCGTCGTCTCCGCCCATCCCGGCCACGATATCCGTGCCGAAGCTGCTGAGCGGGCTGCCTTCATGAAGCGTGCTCCTCGTGGTCTGAGTGACTGCTCTGCGAAGCTGAAGGCCCGTGGCCTTGAGAGGCAGAGCATTGCTCGCCGCGAGAGCGCTGTGAATGCCATTCGCCAGAAGAGGGGCCTGCAGACCCGTATGGTCCTCACCCTACCGCTCAAGATTGACTCAGACTAATTAAGATACAGACGCTCCCCTTCTCAAGGCTCGCGACCTCGACACCATCCTCAACACCACCCACCACTCGTCCCTGGACGTGAGCCCCGAGACCGACCCCAACGTCCTCTTTGCCTCCAACGCCACCTGCGTTCTTGGCCCGGATGTCACCCAGGGTCCTTACTGTATGACTATCTTCTCTCTACGGGGTTTCATGTAGCTAATCAGACCAGATGTGACTGGCGAGCTCATCCGCAACGACATCACCGAGACCCAGGAGGGTGTGCCCCTCTACCTGGACATCCAGCTCATTGACACCAGCACCTGCGAGCCAGTCCCAGACATTTACATTGACATCTGGCACTGCAACGCTACTGTAAGCCAATTGCCACTAATACTCAACTTTCTGCACCACATACTGACGATATGTATAGGGTGTCTACTCTGGCGTGACTGCCTCCGGCAACGGTGACTCCAGCGATACCTCCAACCTGGACGCGACCTTCCTCCGCGGTATCCAGCAGACCGACTCCGACGGTGTCGTGCAATTCAGCTCCATCTTCCCCGGCCACTACACTAGCCGTGCTACTCACATCCACGGTACGTCCCATTCCTCCCCTACGAAACTCCCCTTATACTAACTCAACAAATAGTCCTCTCCCACTCCCCCAACGAGACTACCGCTCTCCCTAACAACACCATCTCTGGTCTCTACACCTCCCACGCCAACTACGTCGGCCAGCTCTTCTTCGACCAGGACTTGATCAGCAAGGTCGAGGCCACCAGCCCCTACAGCACCAACACCCAGGACCTGACCGAGAACGCTGACGACAGCATCCTCTCCGAGGAGGCCGACACCATTGACCCCTTTGTTGAGTACGTCCTCCTCGGTGATGATGTGAGCGATGGTGTCTTCGGATGGATCTCCCTGGGTGTGGATGTCTCTGAGAACAGCGAGATTACCCCTGCTGCGGAGTACACTGCTGATGGGGGTGTGGAGAACGACTCCTCTAGCTCTGGTATGGGCGGTGGCGGTGGCTCTCCCCCTAGTGGCAGCGCCGCCCCTAGCTCTTCTGCTTAAGTTTTGAGTTGATTGTAGGGTGTTTGTTTGTACTTGGTTGTTGCAGATGTAGGATAGCGAGGAAATAATATTGAACTTAGTCGTTCGTTTATTGAATCTGAATTGGAGTTGAAGATGGATTGAGTGGTCTTTAGAGTACTGATATGAATCATTGGTCAAATCCGATTCGTTGGACGAAATATGAAATTTATCTATTTGATGTAGTCTCTACCAATTGTACGAAGATGCTCGTTACCTGATTCTTCTGCTTATCTTGCTGTTTGCTGCCTTGGGTTTCGTCTTTCCTCATATCCCTCATCCATAGATTAGCATCATTTTCTCTTTTTAACTCAATGTGCCCAGAATCATCGTCTGCCTTGATTGCATCTTCCTCAACGATCTCCTCATACTATCCCAGGCTGGTTAGGTCAGTAAAAATTAATGCACTCTTATTCAGGAAAAGAAAACTCGACATGTTCGGCGATGTACAGTATCCCCCACCTTGATCCCGGAACCCCCCTCCGTCTATGACCTGGCATGACATTACAGTGAAATATAAAGCCAGCCTACTAATCGTCATCATCACACAACGCAGGACCCCAATCTATTCATCACCCACACACACACACACACACACACACACACACACACACACACAGCCTAGATCTACAGATACAACAAACCAAAATGTCCTCCACCCCGAACCCCGTCCCTCGACATGATCCCCCCAACATCCCCCCCAGCACACTCTGCACCACCCACGCCTACCACAGCCCGACCCGCCTACGCCGCCTCTACTACGACACCGACCCCAACAAAACACCCTACCTGTACATCACCAACGTGCCCCCGACCCTCATCACCCAATCCCTCGAACAAGACCGCTTCGTGCAAACCAAAGCCCTCATCACCTACGACTACCCCTCCCGCACGCTAATCATGAAAGGCCACCCTCGTCGACAGGAACTAGCCAAGGAGATCTTTAATAGCGAGTTTCTGATGTTCAGATATGGCATGGGCCGTTGGGCCCTCGTGCCACATGGTTCTGCGACAGTGGCAGATGGAGATGTTGTGAAAGAACCGAATTTGAGTTGGCAGCCCTCGGGGCGGAGTAGGAAATGGCCGAGTCTGGTGTTTCATGTTGGGTGGCCCGAGGGGAGGGAGTATTTGAGGGGGGAGGCGAGGTTGTGGTTGGAGTGGAGTAAGGGGGATGTGAAGGCGGTGGTGTTGATGGATGTGGATAAGGAGGGATTGGGGATTGAGAAGTGGGTGGTGGGTGAGGAGGGAGTGAGGATGGAGCAGCGGGTGGAGGTGAGGAAGGTAGAGGAGGAGGATGGGGATGGGGGTGAGATGGGGTTGGTTGTGCGGGGAGGCCCTTTTGTGTTGACTTTTCGGGAGGTTTTTCTGAGGGAGCCGGATCCGGAGAAGGAGAAGGAGAAGGATTGGGTGTGGGGAGTTGATGAGATTAAGGAGAGTATGGGCCTTGTTTGGCGGTATGGTGAGGACTGAGAGGTGGTGCTACCTTCGTTGAGTTGGGCAAAGGTATAATGTTGTGATCTGTATTGCTTGATTAGAATGCCGAGGATCCGAAATGAGATGTCATTGATATTGGGGTATTTATATCTCCATGAGGCTATAGTACCTAACGAACGTGATACTGAGATGGTCTAGCATGAGATGTACTAGTACTGATCGCCTTGGAATGCTGCTGACATGGAGCTATCTGCAACAATCAAGATTACCTCATACCGATGTAACGCTCTAATCAGAGTCCAGATATACAAGAATCCTACTTCCGATGAAAACCTTAACAAAGTAAGCTACTCCACCCAGCATCTACCTTGCAAGGAAAAAAACACGATGGTGGAAATTGAATACAATGAATAAGATACATCTCCCGAAAAGAGAGCCATCGGCAAAAGCAACGGTATTTCCCATCCATCATTAAGCTACTACTACTCAAGACGAATAGGAGGTAACTGGGAACCACTCCATGACAAGCAAAATGGAAGCTCGAACAACAGCCACTCCCCTGTCCTTCCTATCACGTACCGAGTTCCTTCTCGAAAGTAGATTCAGTCAACCAACAACGATGGATATACAAAAAACGCACTTCTACTGACTATCTTATAAGCCACTGTATCTTTAAGTCATATGCTAATCATTAAGAAAAGCCGATACTTATTGACTGCCGACTCTCTTCGAGTAAGACGTTCGATTGTTAGTAGGCTGAAAGAACTATAAACCACGATAGACAGACAGACACTTTGACTTGCACCATCCTCATCTAAAGGTTCCACCAAAAATATAGAAATCGAACCTTCTGCCCTTTTATTATACATTCTATATTATTTGTTCATTTAAAGAGTCAATAACAACTACACTGATTAAAAATTAATTCAACCATGAAGCAACGCTGACTAATAGCCCACACCTCAACCCCAAGATAGTGGCCATAACCCCCACTCAAACCAAACAGCAATGAACGACGGCAAGGTGGTCGAGTGGTTTAAGACGTAAGACTTGAATCTGGATTGGACGATTACCTGAGACACGGTGATTGTTCTGTAACAGACGACATCTTATACCTTCGGGTGCGCGTGTTCGAATCACGTCCTTGTCGTTTTTTTATTCCCCTCCAACCCCCACATTCCCTTATACGACGAGGGTGATTTTTGGATGATATGCATATGTATTCAAGAGATTAGAGAAAAGTAAAGTCAGATTTTATGTCTACAGAATATGTAGTATTGATATTAAATCAACTAGGGTATCAACCAGCCGCATATGTACTCATCTTCCGTAACTTCTCCCCAAACTTCCACAAAAACACCGGCGCCGGCACCCCCAGCGCTATTGCAATAAAGGCCAACAAGCTATTCCCCCACCCATAGTCCAGCGCTTGATACATATACGGTGCGAATAACGGGAACCCGAAACCCGCGAGCGAGCGCATACACGCCACTGCTGCTAATGCGCTGGCGGCGAACCGCGTGTACGAGTCGACGATATACGTCTGCAGACATTGGAAGGAGATGATATTGCCCATTCCGTACATGCAGGCACCGATGTTCGGAGCGATCCAGTGGCAGTGTGTCTGGGCTGTCCAGCCGTAGATGAACAGGCCCGAGGGGATGAGAAATGCGCCGACGAACAGCAGCGGGACGCGGAACTCGGGCTTCCCCATGCCGTTGTTTTTACCTTTCAGACGACGGTAGATACGATCGTTTAGCGGGGCGCAGATCTGAGAGCCGAGCCAGAAGCCCAGACCGAGGGAGATGTAGTTCAGGCCGCCGATGCCGGTGGATTCGTTGTAGTATTCCGGGCTGGTCCAGAGGGAGGGGAAGGTCGAGAGCACGAGGTACATTGTGCCGTAGATGTAGGCCATGTAGGCGGCGAGGGCTTGGACGATGGGTTGGGTGGAGAGGAGGCGGAAGGGGCGAATGAGTGCGGCGCGCATAACCTGCCCGAAGGTTTTGTTTTGGCGCTCGAATTCGGTTTGGTAGTTGGTATCGTTGGTTTCTTTGCGGAGTTTCTGGGCGCGCTTTTTGAGGATGATTGGGGCGTAGGTTTCTTGGAGGAAGAAGAGGCCGGCTACTTGGATCAATCCGTCGGCGATGGAGGTCGCGTAGAATACCCATCGCCAGGTTGTGTTTTCGGCGATGAAGCCGCCTGCGATGGGTCCGACGGCTGGGCCGAGGAGAGGTGCCAGACTGTAGATAGCGACGCTTTTGCCGCGCTGTTCGGGCTTGAAGCAGTCCGAGAGGACGCCACCACCGATCTGGGTTGTTAGATGGGGGTCTTGGAGTGTAAGAGGGGTTGCTTACTGCTAGTGGAGCGCTACCGCCTAATCCGGCGAAGAATCGACAGACGATCATTTGTACTTTGGTCTGTGATACGCCGCAGCCGATGTTGAAGACAAGATATAGTAGATTGGCTAACTGTAGGACAATCACTCGACCGTAGATCTCGGAGAGCGGCCCGAGAAAGAGCGGCCCGACAGCGTAAGCCAGGATAAACACGGACAGGGTGAGCTGTGAGATGACCTCGTCCGTGATGTTGAAGTCTTTAGATATCGAACTAAGGGCTGGTGCCACCATGGAAGAGGACACGGGCGAGATGAACGTGAAGCAGGATACTGTCACCACCGCCGCCCACTTCTTCTTCATTGGCCAATTTTTGGGGTTCTCCGGATCATCGGGGCCATCCCAAGTAACCTATCCTGTTAGCGCTAGATGTAACAACAAAGAAACCAGACATACCAGTTTAGGATCTGCTCTGGATTTGTCCGACCGTGCAGTCCGTGACTTTTCCAAGCCTGCTGCAGCCTGGGCTCCAGCTTCCAGATCACGGTCACGCTCGTTCACCACACCCCCGCGTACTTCAAGGACAGGTTCGTCCTTTTCCCCTCTGTCATCGGACGGTGAGTCCAGATCCAGCTCATTATCGCTGTGGTAGACAGAATGATCATCGAGATGCCTTCCGGAATGCACTCGTTCCACCTGTGCTGTACTGTGTCTGGACCCTGATCTCGTTCGCGTCCTCAATGTCCCCAGTCTGTAAGGCCGGCCCGACAAGGACCCATCATCTGAGCTAGACAGCGACGTAGACCTCGACCTAGTGGACCCGGTATCCGAAAGTGAATGTTCTTTGGACATAACCACAGAAAGTAACCTCAGGCAGAGAAGGAAGCTATAATCAAAGCTCCCAGCCAAGCCAAAACTGTGACAAAAACACCGTAAAAAGAGAACTGAAACCTGCGCCTGGGGCAGCCCGGTTAATTATATCATCCTGACTGAACCATGGCTGTAGTCTAGGAACGGTGATTAAATCCCCGTTAACGCCGATAGTGGGTCGTGTTTCTAGAATTTGCACTGGATGAAGCCATCATTGGCCAGCAGGTGAAGCTTGATGTCGGTCCACCAGTCAGTCCGGCTCCACGCTTATCAATGACTTGTGCACGGGAGCGGCATGGCCCGAGTCATTATGATCGAAACGGGCAATCTGCCCTGTGAGCAATGCATTCGGGTTATTTTGATTGGCACGAGGCCGTGACTGCCTGTCCGTTGGCGGGAAGCGAAACGACTTGAAGAGGTGTTGCACTGTTTGCAAACGTTGCATGCATGGAATGTGACCAGAGAACGTGATTGGCTCGAGGCTCGGCTGTCGGCTGTCCGGCACGTCACGTGTGTCACGTGAGGCGGCCCCCGCCGCTTTTCTGGGATGTTTTGGCCAAGTTTGGCTGCAGGATTGGATTGACCTGATACATTCCCTGCTGAGCTGCCTGATCAGCGTGCGGACGTCCGATACACCGTCGTGTTCCACTGTTGGCTTGTATGCGGCCTGCGGGTTATCTTTGTTTGCTGCCAATCACTTGCTTTTCTCCGACAAGACAGTTGACTCATACAGTCCTGGATTTTTATCCGGCTACACTCCGCTTCCGCGGCTATGCATGGGGGACAACCTTGATGTATGTATGGGTGACGATGTATGTTGTTAACTAGTAGTTATCACTGGCTGGGCTGGTAATTCGATCTATCGACGCTACTCTCTGGCTACAAGACCATCAGGCACCGTTTCGGATCTCCGATGGCCTGGATTCAAGGCAAAGTGCGGTCCCTACCCGTCCAATGCCTCCTCATTGACCGCTGTCATGTCCTCGTGCCCGATGAGATTCTGGGAGCACCGATTGTGGGTCTCTGCTAGCACAAAATGACCTTGTGCATTCGGTTATCGCTCATCATATCGCGGTCTGGACGGTTCTTAAACACCGCTCGAGATACTGCTCCACCCGTTTTACGTCGTCCAATGCGGCTACCGTGCCCACATATCCATCTGGTCGAACAACAGCCAAAGCTCCCTGGGCAGCATCTACACCGTAAATCTTGTACACGTCGTCCATCTCGTAGCCACTGTAAAAGCTCATCTCCGAGTGTCGCTTGAGCTCGGCTGGTAAATCACGCCAAGTGAACTCCCGAGACAGACGGGGATGGATCACAACCTGTTCAATCACGGAGGTAGGGAACCGGGGCAGCACTGCAGACCCTATTGTCCGCAATGTCTGGGCAGAGACACTTTTCGGATACAACAAATCATTTGACGTGAGACAAAGAATACGGAATCGGCCAGTTGACAAGAAATCTGCCCCATGTCAGCTACTGTCGGCTTTTGAGGGTTTTGCTGTTCCCCGTGCTTTGCTACACTTGGGCTTACCATCATGCAAGTTACACCGGTTTCCGTCGGCATGTCTTCGGTATTTGACATTTAACAGTCTCCGACCTGGACGAAGGATACCAGAGAGATAGTCAGTCCCCTCAATGGGGTTCTTCTTGGCATCCTGCATCTTCTGCACGATCGGACTCTCAGGATATTCAATCCCACAGCCACTGGTGAATCCATTGCCAGTACTAAACACTTCCAAGAATTGTTCGTGCGTCAGGCCGTCCGCGCCATCTTCTGCGGCGCCGATCTTTCCAGAGAACATGGACGAAAAGGCACGGTCGAACTCTATAAGTTCCTGGGCAATTGTGTGGCGCTCAGTGTGGTACGTATCCAAAACGGCGTCACGCTTTCCCGGCGATGTCGAGGCGGGAGTGAGACCATTGATTGCGTATGCCAATTTCCACGCTAGGTTGTAAGAGTCCATCATGGAGACATTCATCCCTTGGCCCGCCTAAATGACAGGTGAGTATGCAGGAGCTTGGCATTTGTCAACTGGGAGATACATACCTTGGGACTATGAGTATGGCAAGCTGGTAACGAAAGTGGGTTAGCATGCAGCACCCCAATTCAGAAGGAATATACGAACCATCCCCTACGATGAAAACTCGATTGGCTCCCTTTGAATCTTTCACTGTGAAATGATCCGACACTCGCTGGCCGATCTGATACGCCGCCCACCAGTCCACGGCGCCGTCCGTCTTCGGTCGGATATAGTACGGTTTGAAGGCTTCGGCCGCATTTTGAAAAATCCCGTCGAGAGTGACCTGGCTCCTGCGAGCTCGAGTATCCTTTGGTGTAGACTCATTCACTGGCCTCTGGTCCTCGTCTGGGGTGGCCTCGTCTGGCACCTGGACATACAACCGGGTCAAGTAGTCACCGGTCGCAATTCGCTCTCGAGGGATTACCATCACTGAAGTAGCTGGGGCATGGATGGCACAGCGCCTTCTAATATCAGGAAAATCGGTATCGACAACAAGATCGACCACGCCCCAGATGTGATCTAGCGACTCACCCACCAAGTTCAGACCCATAGAGCGACGGACCACGGAATGGGCGCCGTCCGCACCAACCAAATACTTCGAGCGCACCGTTCGTCGTTGACCTGCCGTCTCAATCTCCGCCACCACTGGGAATTCAGAATCGCCATCCTCGTCAATTTTCACGTCGAGGAGCTTAGTATCCCGCTGCACTCCCCTTTTTGAGTACCGCAGGAGATCGGTTTCTAGGATCCTCTCAATGCGACCCTGGTGGATTGTGACTTCATGCTGAAATCGCGCAGGCACGGCAACATCGGGCACTATCGCCGTTCGTTCAATGATCTCATCCTTATTGGGCGAAGGATTCCAGAATGCAACTTCCTCCATGTGACATCCATCGGTGAGAATCTCATCCGCTAGCCCCAGGGTTTTCAGAACTTCGAGTGTCCTAGGCTGGAGGCCATCAGCCTGGCCAGATTTAAGCGTTCCCGGTTTGGCATCGACGCACAATAGAGATGCATCGTTCAGTCCATATCTGGCCAACAGGAGATTGAGCATTAGCCCGGCAGGACCAGCGCCGACAACGACGACTTCGTATCTCTCTGGGTCTCCATCGCGGGGGTCGTTCGGGCTGAGGCGAGGTAGGGGCGGCGCGAAGGAAGGGAGAACACGAAGTTCACGCGAGGATGCTGCAAACTCGGTGAAAACAGGCATTTAGTCGATTATATGGCTTTAAGTGTCCGGGATTGTAATCAACTTAGATCGTATAGTAGGAGGAAAGCACCTGACTTGCGTGTTTTATAGCTGGTGGGCAAGTAATGGCAGGGTCACTTGGTTGAAGGTCAATTGCAGGGCATGTTAGAAAGGTACAAGTGTCCAACCGACCATGGTAGGAACTCGCCCATCTATATGACTGTAGGGTAGTCCCCACGAAGCCATCGAGTCAAACTATAGTCGCGTCTAGTTTGTTTGAATCCCCCACGCTGGTTGGCCGCGGGGTCGTGGCCTCAGGCACCTATTGACTTATTGGGAGGCTGACTGAGCAAGGGTGGAGTCACGCTTTTCCAGTTCCCTTTAGTATTTGCTGACTGCTGATTATTAGAATCTCACCAATCGCCCTGATCGGCGTCGACCTTGCCGGTTCGCGTAACAGATGAGGGCCCCGATGCTCCGATAACCGCCGATCCTACACTTCTGACTGGCTGCAACCAACATTATGAATCGTGGACTTACGCACAGTAAGTTGACAGGTTGCGGCTTTTGAAAGTGTGGGGTTGCTACGATGATGAAGTTACTTGACAACTCCAGCCCAAAGCCGATGGTGGCTGAGCGGTACGCAATCATGGGATCTGTCTATTTTCAACCATTGCCTGCCTTGACCTAATTGTCTATACGACAAAGGGTCCGTGCTGAAGATGAAGTGTGATAACTACATGGTAGAAACTTGGAATGTCTTCCGAGGAAAAGGGAGCTTCTGTCTACCGCGGAACCGCCATCCTTATGACCTCACAGACGCCACACCCCAGACGATTTGACCTTTCAAGACTCGAACTATCCGTGAGCCAACACTAAACTGATGAACTTCAGTGGGAGACTGGTATGTGCATTTAGTTAACACTGCGTTGTCGCAGCTTCTGTGAGGGTACTAAGTTGACCGAGAGTTCTGACAGACTCCACCTTCTGGAATTGTCAAGACTCAAATCAGGACTTGCCATGCGCCACCGTTGTAAGACAATAGAACTTGAATACTTATCCATGGTCTATACTTTGCAGGTCAATACGGATTCAGAACATACATAGGCCATGTATGAAACGGAGTTGACTCGAAAGACATGCCGGCCACATTGGAGGCACAGGAGCTCATGGGGAGGCTGTGGACCCACCAAGAGCCTGAAATGAGCGGACAAATGGCCCGGAGAGTGACACGCAGACCAGAGGGTCACTTCCGCCTCCGCTTGTTGCTACCGCGTGAGGGGGATTTCCGGCCATGAGTTTCGGCTGTTCTATTACCGGGGCATTGAAACTGGGGCCTAGTATATCCGGGACCCAGAGCAATTGTGCAGGCTAGTCCGCTCTCCTGAACTCAATATTGGGTAGAACCGCTAGTAGGGTGGCCCACTTTCGCTTGGGAGAATGGCAGTCTTCGGCAGCCAATCCCCCATCTTGCGATACGTACACCCTCCGGTAAAGCCCATTCGTCATAGGAGCCCTTCCTCCCGGTGGCGCTGGGCGGTTTGCTGTCAATCGTTAAATCAGGTGGAGAGGAAGCAGTTGCATTGTTGCTTTTCCCATCTTCTGCCGGATGAGGATCACTGATAGGCTGGATATACGGATTAAAGTCGGTTACCAACGGGACTATTGCCGGCGCTACTCGATTTCAGGCAGGTCCTTGGACTTTTCGGGTATGCGACAGATCACACACAAATGCATGCCATTGGCTAACCGCTGATAGTCGTCACATTGCGAATCCCAAAACTACAGGTGCAGCTTTCACGCGTGCCCAGACAGATCGCAAGGCGACTGTTCGGTCAAGCAGAAGTTCTTCAAACTTGGGCAATGTTGTTGGCTTTTCGTGTGTTCAGCGGGTTCTGACGATCTCCTGAAATTGAGCACTACACGGGTACCTCGTATTCGAACCTTTACTCCGCAACGCACTTCCTGGTACCCATGTCCTAGTGCCTAGGCCTCATACAACAGCTCCAGGCAAGAACGGTATGGACTACTCTAGCTAGTGGACATCGCTATCGTGTCTCTTGGCCAAATGACCACCCGCAGCCCCCACTGGATCCATTGCCTCCCCGTCCGATCACCAGCACCCGTGGATCCCCGTTGACCTCGCCTGGAACTCAGGGTTACCCCAAAGCCCTTCTGATCGCCAGTATAGACTCCACTTGACTGCCATCGCTGGGGGATTTCCGGGCTGGGGTTCCTACCACTCTGGAGTATCCTCACTATTACCACGTCGGTACGATCACTTCCAGCTCAAACGACAACACTCCAGAAAGACAAGTCGAGGCGGAAAGTTACACAGCTTCCTCCCCGGGCACTGATCGTCAACCCCACCAAAGAAAACTCCTCCAAAACACTTGACGGTTGAGGGGTGACGGAAGAATGCCGCGGTCGTCCCTCGCGCTTAGCCGGTGTTGGCATGAACGCTGACAGATTCGGAGCACGAGTGAGCTTATACACAGAGAGGGGATCGGAATCGGTTATAGCTGTTGCTGCACAACACATATAAGGGTGGCCATTTCATGCGTTCTACTGCAGCACTGCTTCACACTTAGCCATCCCTCTAGTCCTGCATCCTGAGAATCATGAATCGCCTGGCACAATTCTTTGGCGCTTCTACTGCCAGTACCCCTGAGAAAACCCCTGACCCGTGGATCGTGCAAGAACGCTCCGTTGATGAAGCCAGACCACTGAGAGTAGTTGTCATCGGCTCGGGGATTTCTGGTATCGTTGCATCTATTCGCTTCAGGCAACGCATCCCCAACCTCGATCTATGCGTTTACGAGAAGAATGCAGATGTCGGAGGCACGTGGTTGGAAAACAGATATCCCGGCTGTGCATGTGGTAAGTGTTGCAGTACATTCTTCTACTTATGCCTTGGCTAAGTCGGCTGGTCTATAGACATTCCTGCCCACACTTATCAGGCCACATTCGAGCCTAACAAACAATGGTCCACTTTCTATGCCGCGGCTCCAGAGATTTACCAGTATTGGAAGAAAGTAGCGGACAAATACGGCTGTGAGAAGTGCATAAAGTTTAAGCAGCAAGTTATGGAAGCTGTGTGGAACGAAAAGGATAGCAAATGGCAACTGAAGGTCAGATACATCGGATGATACCCTGGGACACAGCAGCTGATAAATCTTTGGGAGTATAGGTCAAGGACATAGATAGTGATTCGATGTACTCAGACCAGTGCGACGTGTTGATCTCGGCCACCGGTTTTCTGAATGAATGGAAATGGCCAAACATCCCAGGTCTCCATGATTTTAAAGGGAAGCTGATGCACAGTGCCCGATGGGATGAGAGTTATGACTACAGTGTATGTTGAACATTTCGGAAAGAATTGCTGGTCAGGGCTAATGTTCAATAGGGCAAGAGAGTCGCTGTGATTGGAAACGGCTCGAGCGGTATACAAATCGTGCCTGGAATGCTACCGAAAGTCACGCACATGGACCACTATGTCAGGAGCCGAACATGGATCTCACCTAGCTTTGCTAGGGAAGAAGTCGAGAGACGAGGGTCGAAACTAGACAACTGTGAGCGTGGACTGGGTTGGAAAATTGAATGTCTAGCTGATTGAATGTCCAGTCTCGTTTACCCCGGAAGAACTCGAGACCTTCAACAAGGACCATAGTGCGTATCAGAATTTCCGGAAAGGTAGGGGTTGCTTCCCAGTTCGGTTTTTACTGCGCTGACAGGAACAGAAATCGAGGTACAACTACAGTCTGTCCACGGCGCGACCATGCTAGGCACGCCAGAACAGCTAGGGGCCAAAGAAGTTTTCGCTCAGAACATGAAACAGCGGTTGTCAAGAAAGCCAGAGTTGTTTGAAGATCTCGTACCCTCATTCCCACCTGTTTGCCGCCGGCTTACCCCCGGGCCCGGCTACTTGGAGGCCTTGACAGATGACAAGGTGGAGATCATCACTAGCGGGATTGTTCGGGTTGATGCAGATGGTATCATCACCGCCGATGGGGTGCATCACCCTACTGATGTCTTGGCGTGTGCCACCGGGTTCGACACCAGCTTCACCCCCCGGTTCCCCATCACGGGGCGTGACGGTCTGTCGCTGGCGGAGCGGTGGAAGGATACGCCCGAGGCCTACCTCTCCATAGCAGTCGATGGGTTCCCGAACTACTTCATCTGCTTCGGGCCCAACTCGGCGCTGGGGGAGGGCAACCTGTTACTCTTGGCCGAGAAGGTGATTGATTATTTCACCTCCTGCGTGCAGAAGATGCAGCGGGACAACATCCGGTCCATGTCAGTCAGGCAGGATGCGGTCAAACGGTTCACGCGACACTGTGATCAATACTTCTCCCGCACGGTGTACAGCGAGAAGTGCCGAAGCTGGTATAAAGGGGGAGATGAGGATGGACGGGTGATAGGCGTGTGGCCCGGTATGGAATCCTTCTCCTGTTGCGAGTCCATGAACATCGCGTATTGACTTAGGCAGGATCCTCACTCCACTCACTCAAGACCCTCTCGCATCCCCGTTGGGAGGACTTCACCTACGAGTATGTTGACGACAACATGAATGGCTGGATCGGCGATGGGTGGACGGAGAATGAGAAGAATAACGCGATCGAGGTGAACTATCTGGACGATGATCAGGTGGACTTTCCTTTGACAGTGGTTGAGCCCCTGAAGAATTAGGCCGCCGGCATGCGGTGTCTCCTTTAAGATTACAGGCAATCACCATCATCTGATCAGTATCATAGAGGTAGATCGGCCATGAGAGATATGATGAAAGCGTCCAGAGGGTTGCTCTTCCCATCCATTGTTGGGTTGTTCTGCGTAGGCGGGAGGGTGCACTACACCCATCTGGGGTTCTGTAAGTTTGTCTTCTTGCCACTCAGGATGGGATCTAGGCTGTTCCCGCGCTGTACTTTAAAGCGTAATGTGAGGAAGTAGTTTGTAGAAGTGTTGTGGTGTGTAATCTATCTCGTAATCTATCTCCGGTGGACTGCCGTCTCCCTTGCCGGGCCCACCGAGAAACCGCGTCACTGGATGGTAAGATTACCCGGTAACATGCCCGATGGCAGCCCCGTTGCCAGTGAACTCGGGCGTAAGGCGCATACCAGGGAAAGAGGGCGTAACTACGGAACGAGCCGGCCACCTTTCCTTTTACTTTGGGTGGGAAGATGGGCAAAAAACCCACGAAAAGGAGACCCCAGAAAACCGGCTGGGGAAGGCAGTCATCCTTGGCCACTTAACTTTACTCCTCTCCTGCTTGTCTTTCTCTCTCCACTTCTTTAATAAAACCCCCCCGACCTGTCAGTCCCTTCTTCCGTTCACAAAAGTAAAAGTCTCCAGTTGCTTTGGGGGGAGTGGCGTCATACCGTCTCCCTTTGATCTCGGTCATCTCCAACTCTCATCTTCTCGCGATCTTCCCGCCCTTTAATCCGCTGTAATTTATCTCTCTATCTAATTAATCTGTCCAGAGATCGTTCGCCGTTTGGATCCCTACCGAGATTTGACCAATCTCTCTCTACCTGTTCTGCAGATCGGGCCGGGTACTCACAGTGGTGCCAGTGCCAGTGCCAGGGACCCCCGACGGCGAGCCGATCGTGTTTGCTAACCTTCCGGCCTCCGATCGCCGTCTCTTCGTCGCCCCCTCCCCCTCCCACCAACCCACCCCCCTTCAATTAGACTAAAGCACCATCTCTACCCCAGACCTGGATTTTCCCCCCGTTAATCTCACCACACCTCCACCTGCCTTCCTCCCCGATGCATGTCTTTCCCCCCTAACCATGAAGCCCGCGAGCAAGCATTTCTGCTGCACCATCTGTCAGCGGGGTTTCACCCGCATTGACCATCTCAAGCGACATCATCTCCGCCGTACGCTCCCTCCCATCCTGCATCTCGGCCCGCTTCTGGCTCGTGTCTGGCTCATCCTTCAATGCTTGTCGTGCGCTAACTTAAACGCTGTCCGTCAGATTCCGGTATTAGGCCTTATTCCTGCGTTTTCTGCAACGAATCCTTTGCGCGTTGGTTCGTGTCTTGCTCTCCCTCCCGCCCCTGGCTCTCGTCGGTTTCCCGACCGACGCTTGTATGTTTGCCATGATCGTTCCCCACAACTACGATACTGATGCGTCCGCTCAATCTTCAGTGACAACCTCCGCGATCACTACACGGACTGTGCCAAGCGCGGGGATCAAAAGATCCCTGAGACAGGCCAAAGAGGCCGGAGGCGTCATGCCTGTCAGTCGGCAAGTTCCCCCCCTAACCTCCCGCCGATCGCATACCCAGCCTAGTGTGCGCGCATGGTCGCTAATTATCGGAATTTAGTGCACATCGATGAAACTGCGTTGCGATGGACTGAGCCCATGCAGCTCGTGTCAGAAGCGGAACCTACGGTGTAACAATGAGCGCAAGCAAACAGCCGACAACCTGGAGCTGGTCTCGGGCTCGGCCTCGGGGAAGCGTGAGGAGTACGGATCTTCCTCGGATCGCGGGTCGATCAAGTTCCTCCTCAACGGTGGTACGGACAGTTTCACGGAGGAGTTCCTCCTTCCGCCCCGCAGTGATCGCGCTCGCGGTCTTGAATACCATAATCAGAAGGGCCGACAAGATGCAGAGCAGACAATGCTCGACTTCCGGACAGGTGATCCGTCAGAATATGCGCCCGCGTTCATCGAGTCGGACCCGGCTTCCCTCTCGTTCTTCCAGGATACCTTTCTCGATTTCTTTAACGGTCCTTTCGGGAATGTGAACAAAATTGTCGGTGATACCTATGCAGGTGGAGGCAGCTTCCCCGCCATGATCCCCTCGATACCGGATCCCGGCCTCGCATTCACCACGCAACCTACCTATGAGCCGGAAGAACCGTACGCAGCCGGACTGTATCAGGCGATTCTAGCACGGGCGTGGTCGGTCCCTCTCGATACCCAAGCGCAGGAGCGTTTGTCCACGTATCTAAGCTTTTTGTTAACGCCTGCTCGCATCGACAAGTTCGTACGGATGTATCTGGAGTACTGGCAGCCAAGTTGTGCCATGGTTCACTTTGCGTCACTGAATGTGAACACCGTAGCGTTACCACTACTTGCAGCACTCGTGTTCATGGGCGCGACGTACACAACTGATGAGCAGGAGAGGCATGCTGCAAAGCAGGTGGTCGATTTTGTAGAGCTCTACATCTTCTCCAGCGAGACCTTCTCACCGGAGAATGAGGTGGCTTTGGCATTCTGTGGACGTCGGATGTTTGACGGCGGGAATAATGATTGGATCCAGTTTCAGAATCTTCAGGCTGGCTTCATCATTGTCATTGCGCAGTACTGGTCGGGAAGCCCAGCGGCGCGCAATCGAGCGATGGAAAACCGGTTCAGCGAAGTCATCAAGGTATGTAGTCGGATATGCAGACGGGTGACGTTACTGACGTGAGTAGATCGCTCGTCGAATGGGCCTTCACAAATGCCGTCATAACCAACATCAGGCTGTCTCGGAATTCCAATGGATCCAGACAGAGTCTCGCATTCGGTATGTCTCCGTCCCCCTTTCTGGTTTACCCCGCTGACCGTAGCAGTACAATGAGCATCATTCTGCTGCTCGACTGTGCATTCTCCTTCTTCCAAAACTACCCTTGCCGTCTGTCCCATATTGAAGTCGAGTGTGACTTCCCTTGCGCCGAGTCCCTCTTCGCTCTCGAGCACCCATACTCGGATCGGAACTTCCAGGCCTCGAGGGGGATCACAATTCTGGAAGCGTTCCACAATTTATTCGAGGATGACCCCAAGGACACGATGCCTTCAACACCGGACTCGTCAGCGTCCGGCAGTATGGCGAACCTGACAGTACTCGACATGTTCATACTGATCCACGGTACGTCAAGCCATCGATAGCACATGACCGTTAAGCTGACTGCTCTAGTCTTGTACACTTTTATCAATTCGCACATGGCCTTACTGGGTCCTATTCTCCGAAGGACCCAGATGTCTCACCCGAAGCATCTCTTCAGCTTCGATGCCGCAGACAAGAGCCAGCCCGGAGCGATCCCTGACGACCTCATGCTATCCAATATCCGAGTAGCACTGGCCCGATGGCGCGAGCACTGGGTGACGCTGAGCAACACACTGTCGAGCCGCGAATGGGCCTCGATGGGCTTCTTCAAGAACGGGTACAATTTCTGGTTGGTCTCCCAACTGCTCATCACAAAGAAGAAGAGCGTGGACGTGGTGATGCAGATGGAGGTCAACTGTGAGGACAAGTTGCAGAAGCTAAAGGTTCTGCTTGATGAGAATGACTGAGGTGATAATTTCTGATTTTGCTTCTTCCTCTATCGATATGTCGATGTCGCCTTGAAAATAAGGAACTACATATGTACTTTGGGCGCGGGCGTCTGGAGCCAATGGGTCTGAGATTAGGACATAACCCCACGGCGATCGTACTCCTGTCTGTGTATTACTACATATGACATGTATTATATTAATGTATGAAATGATTTGAGTTACATGTGAGACAAATCCAAGATGAAGCATTGTGTATTTGTACTTGATGCACAAGACCGCATAGCTGACTCATCATCCAGCATAATAAATTCTTTAACCCAAAATAGTAATTACTAAAAACAGAAGGCGGTCACCACATGCCCATCTCTGCAACCACCCGACGTCAACAACCATCCTCCCCAGCTTCACAAGCTTCTTCTCTCCATCCCCCAATCTCACGGACACCCGTCCACCCCACCCACCATGCCCGACTCGCCCCCGCGGCGACGCCGCTCGCGCTCGCGCTCACCCCGGCGCCAACCTCCCAAAGGCCCGGGCGGATTTCGCTGGAAAGAAAAGCGCGCACCCCGCGACGACAACCCCAACCCGGACACCGACCGCGCCCTAGACCGCGGCTACCGCGCGCGCTCACCTCCTCGCCGGGATACCCAGCGAGACAGAGACTACGATCGCGGAGATAGATACCGACGCGACTACAGCCCGGATAGAGCCAGGGACCGCGATCGTGATCGTGATCGTGACCGGGACAGAGACAGAGACTCCACCAAGCCGAAGAAAACCGACAGCGAAAAGAAAGAGAAAAAGGAGAAGAAGAAGAAGCTCAAGCCCGCCAGCACGGAGGAAATGATCCTTGTGACGGTCAACGATCGACTGGGAAGTAAGGCGACGGTGCCGTGTTTGCCGTCGGATACGGTGGGAGATTTGAAGGTGTTGGTGGCGGCGCAGATTGGTCGTGCTCCGAGGGAGATTATGTTAAAGAGGCAGGGAGAACGGCCGTTTAAGGATTTTATTACGCTCGGGGATTATAGTATTACCAATGGGGTGCAGTTGGATTTGGAGATTGGGACGGGGGATTAGATTTATGTCTTTGGGTAAGGGGGAGGGGATTGGTGGTGGTGGTGCAAGTTTGTGGGTTGTGTGGTATTAGGTTCTGCTATGGTCATGGATGGTGGGGATGGGATGTTTTATTCTCTGGTGATTGTGGGGATTGGAGTTGAGGTGGAGTTGGGGGTTCTTCATACTGTGTAAACCTGTGGAAATGAAAATATCATCGTGCATTATATCATATTTCCTTACTGAGTAAAAGGTGGTGTTCATATATCGGGATCTATAATTGGTTCGTCGCTCTGGGTGTTTGGATGTCTAATTAAGGTATATGTAATGTATGTAATGTAGTTACCGCCTGGTCACTGTGACTTTGCCGGAGGTAACCATTGTTACCAGGGTTCAGTCACACGGCGTCGACCACGTTATCCAAGCCTTTTTGTGATACTAGTTGCGCCACAGCTTGAATGTTATGTTGACGTCTTTCGACTGAGGTAACAATTAACTTATTGCTAGTTTATGTTGGTATCCCAGCGTGTCGTCCCAATTACCGCGATCGACCCATAACGCTACCTTGGTACGGAATTAGTCGACAAGGTTATACCCGCTGTGGAGCTACTAAATTAGTTACACCGTACTGCCATTAGCCCTAAATCAACATCATGCATCCGGGGTGGGAAATAACCCAGCAACGCTTTTACACTCAACATCTAGTTAAAATATTTGCTTTTCAAATAGCTAAACCGCATTCAGATAACCTTAGAAAGAAAAGCTTCTCACAGCTCACCACCAGCAACAACAATCAAACAAACCCCTAACTAATACACCAA